GCATCTCTTCTCTATCTGTCTGTACTTGGGCACGGTTTTATCTTCTGGGGTATCAGGAACATCTTCTTCTATCGCCATAGCTTGGAGAATTCTGTAGTGCCATTGTAGACTTGGATTTGGGTAGTTCCTTGGGTCGTATTGAGCTTTTGGCAACTGGAGTTGTTGTACAACTATGCGCATATTGTCGATGAGCTCATCTGGTGCAACGATGGGAGCTGGTGCTGCTACAGTTCTGAGATCGTCAGCAAAAGGCATGGGATATAGCCATAGGCCGGCGGGAAAAATCTGCTGGTTTGTGGCCGGATCCAATTTTTCAGCTGAGGGTAGGATAGCAACGATGGTGGGATTTGCATTTTTGCGAGCGATGTACCATCCTAGTCCCATTTTCTTATCTTTGAGAAGTTTTTCCCATAGAGCAGAAAAAACTCGAGTCGAGCCAACATAGTCGGCTTCACTTGGATATATAAATGTTGATTTATCGACAGATGCCCAGAAAGGTAACATAGATTGAGGCTTGAAACCAATGATACGAAGTCCTGGGTGTCCGAAATCCTTCAGTTGCTTTTGCTCGTCCGGAGTAAAAAGAACTTGTGAGCCGCCGAACTGATAGGCCTTTTTGATTTCTACCTTCTGAATAACACGAGCTGTGTCTTCCGCCATTTGTGTCGTTTCCAATGTTGGCTTTTCTGGGACTTCTCCTCCCATCCAAACGAATGTACGTCTAGCTGGAGTTTGTTTGTGGAGAACATTGTATCCATTCACAGATATAGTGAGACTAGGTCCTATTTCGAATGGTAGATTGGAAAACAGAGATCTTTTGGCTGCTTGCTTCGAGTTGACGTCCAAGATAAGATTGTTTAATAGAGACAATCCATCACCGTTAGATTTGAGACTGTTCGGTCCAACATTGGGTGGGTCTTCTGCGAGCGGGTCACGATAAATAATATCCTATTTTCCCTTTAGCGAAAAGTAACGAAATTCAAGTAGGAGGCGGTCTAAACATACATCATAGAACTTAGTGCGATCAAATTCATGGGCACGAGTCGAGACTGGAAACAGTTCAATGACAACGCCAATATCATAAAGGTCCTTAGCTCGAACTGCAGCCAATGATTTTTGGGACTTATCTCCGGAATGTGGATCGTCTTTATCGGTTATAATAAATAATCTTCTTGATCCGAAATTTGGCGCTCTTGTTGTGAATATTTGATTGGCACAGAATAACAAGTTATTCATGTCTAAAGTTTCCTCCGTTGGGATCAATATTTTGTTCGCTTCCTCCCCATCTTCGACAATCTCTTTCAACGCCTTGACATCCTGCGCAGATGGTTTATCAAGGTCTGTGAGAAGATAGCAGTGAGGATACACCGAGGTGTCCAAGCCGCTTTGGTCTTTGAACTTTGTTTCTTCTGTACCATATAACATGATACCCATTATATCATTCGGGCTGGAGATAATACGCTGCTGCATAATCATGTGTGCGCACTTAAGAGCCGCAAGCGTGGGACTGTCTGTATCGGCTTTCTTTGAATCGGAAGGTGGAGGAGGAGTAAGCATCGACTCGCTAACATCAATGACGAAAAGAACTGCATCTTTTTGTGTGCGATAGTCCTAATGGTAGATGTTAGGGTCGATTGGATCTTGAAGGAGGTATGAGAAACTCACAATTTCATCGGCTTCCTCCTCTTCCTCCTCTTCCTCCTCTTCGTCTTCTTCGCGCTTCCACTTTTCTGAATCTGCCATGCTTGTTTATCCTGTTCAAAAGTAAGGGAATGAAATGAGGATATAGACTCTAGATCAATGAGTTCCTACACAGCAGAATCTTGACAGCGACTGAATATTGATTGGGAAAACAATACAGTAAAGGATGATAATATCTGAGGACATGTAATGGGGATGTGGGTGGGGATGAGAATGGAAATGCTTAAACGATCAGGCAGACGCGTTGAACCGCGGAAGTGGAGCAGCCTTTACATACGCTAGAGTGCGTTGACACGTGATAAGGCAATTCCATATCTCTCCACACTGATTGGCTTAGAGACATCGGCATCTTGAGAGCTCCGTCGATCCAAGCATCATGTTAATCCTTGTTCATATTCTAGCAATCGGATGAGAGGGAAAGTTGTCTTTACAAATTATAATATATATCCGCTGAGAAAAGGTAAAATCTTACAGGATTAATTTTACGATTTTGATGCTCAATCTATCCATTGAGTGATAATCGTCTTCTTCTTCTGTCTGAATACTTCAAGATGTCTTTTAGAACTCCAAAAGCTGTAGGCCAGCTTACAAAACGAGCTTCACAAGCTACCATTTCTCGCCTCACCAGCAATACGTCTCCTGCGACAACATCATTGTTGCAGAGAAAAAGCGCAGACCAATCCAGATCTTTTGCGACTCCGGTACCACCAGTAACACAAGATGCGACGGGAAGGAGGGGACCGACGGCAATGGTGCTCATGAATATGGGTGGCCCTCAGACTACAGATGAAGTTGGAGATTTCTTGAGTAGATTATTTGTATGTTCATTGTAACCCCGCCACCATCCTCACCTCTAACAACTTACCCTATAGGCAGATGCCGATTTGATTCCCCTTGGACGCTTTCAGAACTATGTTGGCCCTCTCATTTCGAAACGACGCACGCCAAAGATTCAAAAACAATACGCTGCCATTGGTGGCGGTTCCCCAATTCGAAAATGGTCAGAATATCAAGCCGAAGAGATGTGCAAGTTATTGGATAAGATGTCGCCTGAGACTGCTCCGCACAAACCTTACGTAGCATTCAGATATGCAAACCCACTCACTGAAGAAATGTACAACAAATTATTGGCAGATGGGTTTGGTGGCGGAAAGGGTGGAAGAGCCGTGGCATTCACACAATACCCTCAATATAGTTGTTCGACCACCGGAAGTAGTTTGAACGAATTATGGAAGTGGAGACAAAGGCTTGAGGGAAAGGCAGCAGGAAGTCCAAACGGTAGCGATGGAACAATTGATTGGAGTGTGATTGATAGATGGCCAGCTCACCCAGGTCTTGTTGAAGCTATTGCACAGAACATCGAAGCTACTTTGGCGACATACCCCGAGAAGGATAGGAAAGACGTCGTGTTACTGTTCTCAGCGCATAGTTTGCCAATGTCGGTGGTTAATAGAGGTACGTCTGTCGAAGTTGTGAAAGGAATAGGTCGCTAACTCTTTTCAGGTGATCCATATCCAGCTGAGGTTGCTGCTACAGTCTATGCCGTGATGCAAAGATTAGGTCACTCTCATGCATACCGACTTTGCTGGCAATCACAAGTTGGACCTAGTGCATGGTTAGGAGCTCAGACAAGTGATACTGTGGAGGAGTATGTTAAGAAAGGTCAAACGAATCTCATACTTATTCCTGTCGCATTCACATCCGACCATATCGAAACACTTTATGAATTGGATGAAGAAGTCATTGGAGAGTCAGGTCACAAAGATACCATCAAGAGATCCGAAAGTTTGAATGGCTCTCCAGTATTCATTCAAGCACTAGCCGATATTGCTAAAGCTCACATGGATAGCGGGGTGGCTTGTAGTGTTCAAATGGGGTTAAGATGTCCTGGATGCAAGAGTGAGAAATGCGCCGAAACTAAGAAATTCTTCGCTGGACCCGAGAAAGCATTAGCCGTATAAGGAAAGGGGGGATGGTAGTTATGAACATGTATTATAATAGATCAGTCAATTAGTGTACAGCCAATTATGAAGCGAATATGAGCGGGATGCATATGCTCAGAAGTCCGCGTCGGTATCAGGGACAACATCGTGCCGATTTTGGTCACTAACCTAACTGATACACTCTGGCGGGTCACTACATGGTGTGGGACTCTTTAGCCACGACTTACTCCGTACAGAGTAGCTCCTCAGACGTCACCATCTAGACAAGGCATCTGCTGATGAAGAGGAACTAGTTGATGTGAAAATGAAACAGAGGAGAGTATAAATATAAAATTGATAGGTAGCTAGGTAGCTTTCAAAACCTAATAAGACAAACGATCAATCTATTGATACCTCGGTAGACTCTATCTATATGTACGATATGTACGATATGTGCGATGTGAACAATGGATGCAGCGCGTGGGTTGGTATTGGTAGATACATGCCTCTCAAGTGTGGCTTTCAGGATAGCTTGTCACCCAGATAGTGATGAAGTCATCGAGTAAAGATTTCCATCACAGAGCACACGCGCGGAGTATCGAATCCCATGCCGGATTAACATTTTTAATGTCTTGAACCAATCGGACAGTGGGAACCGCGATTATCAATCAAGAAATCTCCTTTTATTGCATTCTTTCCCTACTTGAAACAATGTATTGTAGTAAGATTACCTGGTAAGTATGTAATAGGTAGGATATGGTATTTGACTTATCAATTTGCTGAGGGCTTGATATGTATGTTATCATTGTTATCATTGTTATGTTGGAAGTCGCCCTTTGCTATGTTCCGTACCGGGTTCGTATTGCTAATATAACACTGGGTGTCGTCATGTTTGATCTACCTTGCCATAATTCGGGTGTGGGTGATAGATAGGTAGCACTGGCTTCCTTTCATTCTTGAACTTCATTCTTTCATTAAGTACTTAGGTAGGGAACAGAGTTCGAGACCTTGAGAATCATTATTTGATTGATAATCGTGCGAAGAACCTTAGAGGAAGTTATTCGTGGATTATCTCCTCTACCAGTCTACATATCACCCAACGCGCACAAACAGAGCCAGCCCTGCCCACTTTTCTGCTTAACTATCTTCCTATCTTGGGCAAGCTGGGTTAGATGATAAGCTTGGGTTTGCACTCTCATTTCTAATCAATTGTTTCTTTTGGTATATAATATAGAATCTTCTTCAGTCTCTGCCAGTATTTACATTACTGGGTGGCACGAGAAATCACTGTCAACAAATATCCTACCTGGTTGCACCGACGTCATTGGAACTCAATGCCACAATCGAACTTATACTGAGTGGCGATACAACGATAAGATGACGATGAGAATGGAGAACGAACATGCAGACCAACGGCCAGAGGAGCCAATGACTATTTGGGGCGCGATGACTGCGCTGAGGAGGCATACGAGAGTTCGCAAATCGATCTTAACACCGGAGTCTGAGACAGCTCCATTAATGGGCAATGAAAGGGCACATGAGGGGCAAAGTAGTGGAGGGAGTGAGGAGACATCTTGGGAGGGGCATGGAGATTTTGCGGGGCTAACTTGGTGGCATAAACCATCTGTATGTTCTATTACATATCTCTTGGTTCAATATATACTAATATGTTTGTCCTCAGGTATACTGGCTCTTGTTTCCATTCTTCCTACTAGCTCTCGCAGTTGGTGGAATCATTGTACCAAAACTCAATCTTATTCTCGCCCTCGTATGCCGATCGTATCTCGCAGAGAGATCTTCTCAAGATCCAAACTTCCTTTTCGCACCTGTGTTACTCGAATCCGACAATCCGCAATGCAGGATTCCTGAAGTACAATCGCTGGTTACCAAGTTCATGCTGGCTATCACGGTCATTACTGGAATAATCAGCGCCATTATGTCCCCAGTACTTGGGGCTTTGTCTGACCGACATGGAAGAAAGAAGATTCTGGTGATCTCAAGCTTTGGTAGTTTTTTGACAGAAATTGTTACCATCCTTGCAGGAAAATACCCAGATGTTGTTTCATACAAGTGGCTGCTTGCCGGTGCCGTGTTTGACGGTCTCTGTGGTTCTTTCATTGCGGGAATGGCACTCACTCATGCATATGCGGCAGACTGCACCGCTCCCCCTAAAAGGGCGGTAGCTTTTGCCTATTTTCACGCCTGTTTGTTTTCTGGAATCGCATTTGGTCCTCTGCTTGCTGCAGCATTACTTCGCTTAACCGATAGCCTGCTCACGGTATTTTATGTCGCCCTCGGCATACATACTTTCTTTATTCTTTTCTTACTCTTCGCAGTACCTGAGTCACTCACTCAGAAACGTCAAGAGATTGCTCGTGAAAAGCATGCCGTTGAAGGTCTGCTTACAGCCAATCAAACTTGGTTAAGATCACTAATAAGCAAGAATCCTCTTGCAACACTCAAAGTTTTGTGGCCCACTGGTGGCGGAAATACCAAACACGTCCGCGCAAATCTTGTTCTACTTGCAACTGTCGATACGATTATCTTTGGCGTTGCCATGGGGGTCATGACTGTCATCATTTACTACTCAGGCTTTCAATTTGGATGGAAGACTTCCGAGACAAGTCTTTACATGTCGGTGGTCAACAGTACTCGAGTCTTTACTCTTGTCGTTCTCCTCCCTATTTTTAATTACCTCGTCCGGACTATACCTCGTAGAAGACAGCGCAGAGAATCAGGGCTCGTAATACCAGAGAATCACTCTGGCGCTGATTCAACCGATCTCATTGTTATTCGAATATCTATCATTTGCGAGATTATTGGATATTTAGGATTCACAGTAGCCCGTAGTGGCCCGCTTTTTGTAGTATCTGGAATCATGGCTTCGATGGGTGGTGTAGGTTCTCCGACACTACAATCGGCATTAACCAAGCACGTACCCCACGATCAAATAGGACAACTTTTGGGGGCTACTGGTTTATTACACGCTTTAGCAAGAGTTGTTTGCCCTACGATCTTTAATCTAATTTACGCCCAAACTGTTGGCACCTATACGCAGACAGTCTTTTTGGTTTTAACGGCGTGTTTTGTGTTGGCTTTTACTTTCAGTTGGTTTATTAGACCTAATGGTATGTTCCTCCCTGCTCAACTCCAAATATATGGTTACTGATATGCTATAGTTTCTCTTGAAATCCAAACTCCGAAACGACCAAGCTCACCAGAAATCATGGATAGTGTGGATGTTCGCAATGACGAACAAGTTGTTGGTGTTTAATTTATTCTTCTTGTCTCAGGTACATATTGTATAACAGACATTTATTGGTACATACTTTGAGTCGCTCATGAGATACCTCGTGGTTGGATACACGATTTTCTTTTGTAAAGGGTGGTCTGGCATGCTGGCGTTGGGGGTTAAGATGGTTGACAGCACACGTAGCGGAAGATGCGCGTATTGGCATTTGGACCGGGATACAGTACAATCACGCATACTTGAGTGATAATTTTGCGATAGGGTTTTTCTAATCAGTTTGCATGAGCCATAGTATGGCATGATAGAATTGCATAGAAAGATTAAAGACAAGTGGTTGTATGAAGGCCAACAGGCCTTGCACTTATATTGGTGTCTAGGGATGCGTAGAATCCATACACACACAGATACAAATATGATATCTAATTTAAATCTCATAACTATTTTGCTCGCACGTTTCAGTAATCGTTCTCCATTCATATCTTCCTCTCTGGTGTCAAATTTCCAGCGTCAGCCTCGGGGTAATCAGCAATGTAAACAATGATCCTTCTTTCAGGGATGCGTGGAAATGTTTGTAAGCACTATTTTCCCAAGTCTTCAATTCATTGGATGGATTGAAGAACTGTGCAGTAGGGATGTATATTTCAGTATTCAAGTGTGAAATATATACACCTTGTAACGGATACATATATTATATCTGAATGTGACATTCTGACTGTGAAGCTGTGAAAGCAGGGTGTATTTTTTTTATATGTTTGGCGTGCTGGGAATGATGAGGTAATTGACAATTTGATTTGGCGTGTTTTGAGGTGGTACGGAAATGCTATTTATAGCTAGGTAGAACATGATGTGCACCGCCACGAAGGGTACCCCTGATCTGAACTGATTTTAATTATTTAGAGGGGTGTAAACAAGATAAGGTTTCAGGAGGGAGATTATAGTGCGCGTGTGAGGAATGGAGGGAGATGAGATGAGATGAGATGGGATGAGATGTGACGTGCTGGGTTTAGAGGTTAAAGATAGGAGTGGTGGGAATGCGTGCTGAGTTTTCAGAATCCTGTGGCTTCCTAGGGGGATTTGAGGGGAGGTTTGGGAGGAGTATGATGGAGGAGTACGAGGGGATGATGGTTGAAATGAGGGTTTGAGGGTTTGAGGTGATGGGGTTTTGAGTTATGGTATGGTATGGTGGACTTGTGAGGCAGGTGGTGAGATGGGGGAGGGGATTATGGGGTGTGCGTTTGATGCTGATGGGGATGGGGATGGTGTTGTCGTACAAGATAGTATAGAATGGATACCTTGTGTCGGAGAGGCCAAGAGAGAAGATGGATAGCAGCTAAAGTATGTCGGTAGGGTCCTGGGTAGGTAGGATATAATTGTCTCATTTAACGTCGCTGAGAAAACGGAAATGGGAACGAAGATCAAAGAATGAGGATTTTCGGGGCAGACGAAGGGAAATTGAGATTCTCCATGATGGAGAGATGGATGGTTGTTTGACTTATGGGATGCGATGCCATAATATGCTATGCTATTGGAAGGAGAAATGCCCTGTTTGTTCAGGAAATTATGGTTTCTGATCCTATGGGTGAGGTTACACTGTTGCTGACGGGTGAAATGGGATGGATGAGTATGTAGGTATAGAGGTTTGATATGTATATCATATGTTCTATTTCTCCTATCCACTTTTTTCTTTTGATTTCCTTGAGAATTCTTTGTTATTGATTTTTGTGGTTTATCTCTTCTAAGGTGTATTTTGAAGGTCTTTTTCTTACTTTGCAAAAGCAATTTGTCGTTCTTTACTGAAGTTGTGGTATACATTCATTATTTTTCTTCGTACGCTCTTTTCGTAGAAAGCTTTCTTGTCTTTTGAAGTTCTGAAAGATATAGAGGATTTTTCTATATTTTTCAAATCTGTTATTTTTGCCTCTTATTTCATTCTGCAGGAAGAGGTTTTGAGGGCTAGATTCAGCTACTTCAAAATGCGTCTTACAATTGGAGAAGCAGCAGCGTTACTGCTGATTGCTTTACCGAACTTGGTAAGATACAATTTTCCTCTTTAATTGATTTCAACTTGTATATTTTCCTCCAAAAATGATTCTAACACCCACAACTCCAGATCTCAGCACTTCCGGTCAACACGGGGGCTAATGTAGAACAACTCGTTCCGCTCACTTCGGTGGGTAAGAGAGCAGCAGAATTGGAGACATTGGTTCCGGTCACGCATTTCAAGAGAGAGGCGGAGTCTCTTACTTCGTGGACAGCAGATCCGGAGAAAAGATCTGATGGAGAGGTGGAAGTGTTGGTGCCAGTTGTGGGGAGGGACCTGGAGAAGCTGGTTCCGATTACAGGGAGGGATTTGGAGAAACTTGTCCCTATTATATCTGGCCATTCGAAGAGAGAGCTAGAAAAACTCGTTCCCGTTGTACCGGTTACGCCCAGAGATCTTGAGAAACTCGTTCCCGTTGTATCTGGCCATTCAAAGAGAGAATTGGAGAAACTTGTCCCGGTCACTCCTAGAGATGTTGGGGAATTAGAGGAAAGAAAAACCATCCCTCCCGTGGATCAATTAGATCCTGGATCGATGGCTCCGGATGCTATTACAACTTTAGAGAAGAGAAAGACTATTCCTCCTGCTGATCAACTAGACCCTGGATCTGTCTCTCCAAACTCTGTAGGTTCTTCCTCTGAAAAAACTCTAGTTTTAATCTCATTACTGACAGCATCAAGATCAAAAACAACGATAAAAGACAAGAGTACGCTCACACAGCAACTATCATAGCAACAGTCTTAGAGACCGTCACTGGTGGTGTTGGTATTCCGGGATATCCCGCTACAGCGATTAGTGGGATTACAAGTGTACATGTCTCAACCGTCACTCATCTTCCTTCTACCGTCACTGCGGTCGTAACAGCAGGTGCATCGTCCAGTATCGATACCACGTGTACAGAAAGCACCACCTCTACTGGTTCAGGAGGCGCCGTTACCACCATTCCTCTATCCTCAAGCACCAAAGCGGCTGTCGTGACTACAACCCCTACAGGTGTTAGAACTGGAGTAACAAGTGCCCCAGTTATCTCCAATGGAGGAACTAGCACAAAAGAAAGTACCAAAACAAGTGGGACAATCACCCCTAAAGTTACCCCGTCTGGTTCCGGAAAAGCACCATCGGGAACTGAAGCATTTGAAATGGGTAAAAATGGTACTCATCCTGTCGCAACTGGAAGTTTCCGTCTTTCGGGCACAGGTGATGTTAGTTCAAAGACGAGCATCACTTCCGCGAAACCATCGGCTTCAGGCTCAGTTACGACGATTGTGGATTCGAGTACGACAAGAATCTATACTACCGTTAACGCAAGTGGAAGCGGATCTTCCTCCAAAGCTACTGCCAGTGCTACGTCGAGTTTTAAAGCCACCAATGCAGGAAGTAGTACCTCGGTCGTCGCAGCAGGACCCACTGAGGTTAAATCTTCAAGCAGCAGTGGTGTGAAACTCATCTCTACATCTACATCTGCTATTGGATCTTCTACACATCCTGCTTCGGTGACTTCTTCTTCGAGTGAAATTGCAAGTGTGGCGTCGAGCGCTCATACTTCGATTGCAACGAGTCTTAAGCCTACAACTTCGAGTGTTAAAGCGTCGAGTACACTCGCGACTTCGGTTAAGGCTTCAAGTACCAAGGCGGCGGCGCCGGCGATGACGAGTAAGATTGTTTATTCGGGGGTGCAAAAAGTAGAGCCTTTCAAGGTTTGAGTGGCTTGAAACTGGAGCGTTGGGTAGGAGGTTATCGGCGAGGGGGGAAGACTGAGGAGAAATGAGATGGATTAGGACCGGAAGTCAGCAAGTGGGAGTTTCGACAGTTTAATTTCTTTTTCTTCGTTTTTTATATGTATTGATATCCCTAAAAGATGTTTATCCAACTCATTTTTGCCACTATCTTAGGTCTTGATATTGTTTGTGTGTGTCTCTTCTCGAGAAAGTTATTGCGTCATTTACACATCTAGCGATACTGTGGCGACTTGTTGGGCTGAATTAAGAGATATGGTCCATAACATCCTCGTTTCTGACTAAACGGTACTATCTGCTTATAAAAAGCCATGTATGCGCAGTATGTTTATATTTTCCCATCACCCCTCTCTAGGACAACCATACAAAGGGGGGAACGGTACGTCTCAACCGTCGGATTATTAGGCATGCAATTTGCAGAATTTCTAGACGACGTAAAGGATATTGAAATACTCTACTAATATATAGCACTCAATGAGCGACAAGCAGCTTCAAAAGCTATAATCCCTGCTGCGAATTCTTGTCTTAAGAATTCTTATCAAGAAGATGTAAATTTTGATGGGATGTCTTGTGGCGCGAACTATAAATAATGGAATCAGATTGAGAACCAGGCCGACTTAGCAACAGTATTACGGGCGAAGAAGGAGATAGGGGATTCAACGTGGGGTTTTAGAGTGAGCGATACATTGAATGATGAGATTGGCAAGTTGCGTAAGACGAAAGGAGTGTGGTGAAATTCGAAAGATTAAGTGCGGGACATATCGATGTCTAAAGGGCAACGGACACAAGCTATGGTGGCTGCTATACTTCATCTCTTCGGCTTGGACTGTCAATAGTACGAGCGGGCGAGGTGACTGCCAAAACTTCTATTTGCCTTTGACATCGGCGCAGAGTGAAAACTTCTTTCCGAAGTAGATCATCATACGTCGGTTCAATAAACCTCCTTCCATGATTCCCCGGATAAAAATATCTCCAATCGGACTGTAATGATCATTGAATTTGTGAACAACGAGCAATATTGAGCACCCGAAAAAGATGCAACTCATGTCCCCTAATCCAGCGTGCTTTGGAACGACTCTCGTGTGTCCACACTCAGAACTTGGCAGGCGACAATCAAAATGTAGTAATTTAAGCAGACCAACTTTGTGCTGTTCAAAAGTCACTGGATTCGATAACTCTTTCCAGGACCACAAAAAAAACAGTGTCGCAGGGAACCATAAGAGCTCAACGTCGACTTTGATATCGATTAATCTACAGCCAGGGAGTTGAGCCTCCTTAGCTGAATAAAGGCCGCATCTTAATGAGACGATTGGTTGTATGAGTTTTGATCTTCTCTGGAGACTTCCATTTGTACAGACTATCATGTCTTGCACATTGCACAAGATAAATATCAAAACAAGAATTACTCAGTAAATTCTCCAGAGAACGAATGCTGACCAAGTATGAAGTTATTACAGCTGGAGGGCAATTGAAAGTAAGATCACCAGATCGGGGAATATAACTTCCGAGCGGTGTGGCTTTTTTACCGGCATTAATTTTTGGGCTAGCGTTTTCAACGATAGATTAATCTTTCTTTTTCGCAAAGTTCTGATTTACATTCAATCTCACACATCACTTTTCTATCTTCATATCCACAAGTCTACCTTTCACTATGCCTATTTCAAAGAAAGACAGAGTGCGTATACCTTGATCATTGACAGCATTTGAAGAGCAATAATTAATTTGGCATACAGATTGCTCGTGAGCACAAGAAGGCCGATAAGGAAGGCACCCGCGCCCCGGTCAAGGCAAATGGTCTTCCAGTCAAAGCAGCCGCACCAAAGTCAAAAGTACGTCTCAAATTTAGATATCTCTTGCGACTTTCTTTCTCTATAATCCGCACCAACCTTTCTTTAATTAAGGCTAACTCCGCCTATAGTGCGAGTTCTGCAAGATGGAATTGGTCAACACAAACAAGGCACAATTGATAAGCCATGCTACAAAGCACGAAGATAAGGGCTGGACCAAGGAGAAGTGCTGGCCAAATGATTTCACTGCTTAAGAGGCTGGACAAATGAACTTACAGTATGGCGGAAAATGATACCATGATATGTTGGGGAGTATGGCGAAATCAGTCATCCTGAGGGCATTGCATATTGCGATGAAGGGTCTCAGGGAATGGGGGACATATTTTACGAAGCCGAGTATTGGGTTTCTCGAATAGCAATTATGAATGATCGTCCCCTCACAATACACTTTCACTTTTCTTCCTGGTGAGTATGAACTGTCATAGGTAGGTGGTTTCACTCTTCTCAAAGTTTATGTAATTTTTCGTTGTCATCCGTCTTTTTAACGGCTTCCACGAATTATATTGAAACCTTGACGGACTTTACAATTTGGGCTCTAGATCCGAAAGTTCATTTCTGAGAGCCTGACTATTCCTCAGTCGGAAACAAGGAAGATCGGAAAGGCGTGTCTTCTCACACTCTGGAGTATGCTATCCAATGTTTCATCTGTTTGCCCACCTAATGACGAATTCTTCGCCCGGTATTGTATATCCAAGACATCAGGATGGATTCATAGGAAGGTTGAAAGATTCTGACACAAACAGCTCACTCAAAGTATGAGCTACGTGGAATGGCCTGATTTATCCATACATATGGGATTGGTCAGAATGAACCATGAAACTAGTAGATTTATCTAATATCCAAAATGTCTGAATTAGAAAGGTCCAGCAGGCTCTTTCACTGTGACATTCAACATAACTAGCGATCATCAAACGAAGTTGTGTTACCCACCATGTTTCTTGGCTCTCTCCTGACGTGTACAAGAATGTTCAAGACATACTACCCAAAATTCGTGAAGAAATTTCTACCGACGATCGATTAATTCAGGATTAGATATTCAACCTCATTACCTATCACAAATACTTGTATTACTTACCTACAGTGCTGAATCCGGTAACATGTAGAACTTGTCGATCTTGGATCCGGGACTGTATATATATATACATTACAAGATTATGTTGATAGATCTCGCTTGTGATTTGCTGTCTAAAAAACTTCACAAAGTCCAAAGACAAAGGCAATTTGTACTACATTGTATTGTATAATCTAACTAGCTCCCTAAAGGAACTACCTCTAAGAAATAATGGCCAAGAACACTCTCCTGCACGGATACCCGGATGATTGTCGGCCCGAAGATGCTTTCAGAACTAGGTAATCTCAACCACAACTGCTCTTCTGAAGATCTCAGGAATCATCCCACACACTCTTATTTGTACCATAACAACCCAAAGACACTTGATCCAACCATCAGTTCTATCAAATCCATTTAAGGTGGTTCGATAACTTCAGTAATGGAACTAGTGGCTATATCTACACTTCTCCAGGCTTTGAACATTTGATTTTTGATATTTCTCTCCGGCAATTGTGGATGAGTAGTCAGGAGAATTGGCGTGGGTCTGATAATATATCAGAGTATATTTTTTGCATTGAGCCGTGGATAAGATTTAGTTCTCGCGAAGAGAGAAAGCGAGTGAAATGCCCATGCAGAGGGAGAGACAACGGTATGCAGAACAAAGTGTAGTTGCTTCACTGCCCAACCAGTGTAGAGTTTATGATGAATTCTCAAAGGGTGACTTTTGAAGGAGTCTTCATACAAACATCTGGTTCTCGTCATCTAAATGATCCATTCCAAGTTACTCTGTTTTGAGGTCTGATTGTTTGGGGTGAAGCGAACGACTGGACATGATCCAAGGATCCGATAGATTCAGCATCTTCGTCTTTCTCGGGATCATACTCTCGCTCAATGATATTCGAATCAACCTGATATACTGTTTCGTGATGCTTTGGTCTTACAGTAGGCTCCATTCTTCTTCCCCTACGTTCTTCGGACATTCGAGGAAAACGATCCCTTCGGGAAGCACGTTCAGCAGGGGTCGTGATTTGGGGTCGATAATATGGATTTGGGTCGAGTTGCGGAGGTACATCGAAGCCGTATGTTTGCGGGGGATCAGGTACTTCGTATAAGCGCTGCGAGGGTGGCGGTCGACTGCGATGTCGATCTGGAATACCACGAGCTATGATAGATGTATAGCCAGGAGTGCGAGCATACGGTGGCTGGCTATGTTGCCGAACTTCTGAACGATAGGGGAAATGGATACTCGTGGGAGTTGGTTGTGGTGTCATTGATCTAATAGAGGGAAAGGTTGCTGCCCTAGCGGGTTGCGGCGTCATTAAGCGACCTGGTTGTGTGGAGCTTGGGCGCATAATCTCTTGAGGAACATCGTTTTCAGGGAAGTGCCTATTTAGTGGTAGCCGCTCCGCAGCACTTCTTCCATATGATCTAGGATCGGATTGCCCATCATGCATTCCGTTGAGGTTTACCGACCGATTGGTACGACGTAAGGAGTCTCTAGACATAGACCTCTCTTGAGATGGTATTGGTAGCCGGGGTTTGTCGTCGTCAAGCATGCCATTTGCCTTATCATCCTTGGATTTCACTTCCGCTAGTTGCGCAAGGAGTCGATCTGCTATTACGTTAGTTTGAACTCCAAGTGCTGTGTAACAATCAAACTTCATACCCTCTGGATCTTCTGTTCTCGATCTTTTCCCCATCAAACGCTGGAACTCGAGGGTTTCTTCCAGGGCGTCCGCTATAGTAACGGTCAGCGATAAAGTATGATAAAAGATCATTCGATGCTCGGGAACTAACCAATAGTACGCAGCTCAGCCGCTACATCTCTGCCATTTGAACCAAATCTTTTCGCCGTCATGTTATTGAATTGTTCCTTTCTCTTTTCTCCTTTGGAAGAAAATATAGGAGCCATGTTGTCAAATTTGCTTCGACAAGCCATATTCTCAAGCATAGAAACTGCAGCTCTGAAGAATAACTTTTCTTTAATGAGACGATGGTCGAATTTATATATAACGTATTCGCCAGAAAGCGTCAGATATTTTCCGAATGCAACCCCTCACCCGGATTATTTCGCACGTACACGTCCGCTGCTGTACAGATTTCGTCCACGTTGGTCAACTTGTTGATACCGGGATACTGCCACGCTCTTTATGAGGATTGGTTCGCCCACACCAATAACATGCTACTGGCAATTAGCATATTATCATGCAGGAACATGATCGACGTTCGCTGGAGCATCAGTTCTCTTGGCTTTAATAATGGAAACGTCCCTTCGAAATTTCGAACAAGCTCTACAAGGCATCACAAATCGTGTCGTCTATTTAGGGAGGTATATCGTGAAATTCATGCATATACCCAAGTTGGTTGACATTATAGAATGGAAAAATTCAGATATGAAAGTCTCCCCAGATGCTGGAAATCATTCACCTATCTCTCGGTCAAGTCGGTACCTTACAGGGATGTATGTCTTATTGATTTGGTAAATCACGTGATATGAATTCATCTGCTTCAATGAATATACAATTTGGCGATGTGGAAATTTATTCTACAATCATCAATGTCGACCAGAAGCAGATGTCTTGCCACTAGATCGCTGATTCTACTATCTCCATCCTATCACAGCCAGAATCAAGGAAACCTGCTGCCACGTTGCTTCCCCTTGAAACGTTTTTCCTAGGTCACTCACAGTTCACAAGCTAGACGGGGTAAAGATGGATCATTTTGCACTTGCTTTTCGCCCCGAAGAAAGTCCTCCTGGTAAGTAGCTATTTATTTGCTACCGACGTACTCCAGCGAGTCTTAATAAGTAACCCCATGAAGTCCCTCGCAGACAGGCATCGAATGCCATTCAACCTCAATTGCCTGAATTCGATGAACATACTACCTTGGCAGTCGAAAACTCGAGCGCAGTGAAACACCCTATTGGTAACTCAAGCGTTGTTGGCACAAACTGTGGCGCCTCTGCCTGTGCCGTGGATTCTACTAGCGCACTCTTACCATCTTCTACCCAAAGCCCACTAGGATTTATCAAACCATTATCTGGTCAACCAATCTCGGTCAGAATACCTTCTACCAACGCTGTATGTAAAGCTTGGTGTGAATATACAACGCAGTATTTAACTTACGATCCTACAATAGGCATGCAAGTCTTGCCGATCCCAATCGATCTATTGGCTGAATTCATCATCCAAGACGCCATCAAGGCGGATACGCCCCTACAACAGCTCGCTCATATCTGTTTGGTCAAATACTCTTGCCACGGAAAGGGATCTCGTGAATACGAAGTTGTGAAAATGGTCTGGGAGTTTATTCAAAGAGTTTTACATTGATAAGGCCATAGCTCAGCTTGGTGTTTACTTTGTGTTTTTGAGTATTTGAGCTTATGGAGTCGGCGTTTGGTAGCTTGGACAGCAGGAATATGGTGGAGAGTTCAATTGATCAATGTAGAGGGAGATTTAGGAAATCATTTGGGTATTGGAAGGATTTATTGGTCGTTGGAGGATCCCCGTGAGTTCTTATGGATGGTATTTACTGAGATATTTTATGCTACATTGAGAGACTGGCTGGTCTCGGTCACATTAGCTTACGAATATAATACATGAGATCTGGTATCTACTTCGATAAATTGCATCTAGTGTTGTGAGTGAACTACCTCTCTCTATGATAATCATCCAGGCTATGACTTGTAGTTGAGATATACTAAAATTGTGGATAAAACTCTTCTGTCTAATTTTTAAGAGTGGATTTATATAGTTGTCGTCCTGGCTTCAGGTTTGATAGTCTAGTTGTAGATGTGTATTTGGAGATGCTTTCTGTCAAGGTCGTTTGGATATTGAGTGATTTACATATGAGGATCTTTAGGGGATGTAAAGATGATATGCTCATCGATAATTCTTTGATAGTTGAATAAATAGATAGCACTTGGATATTCACGGAACTGGAAACATTCAAAGTGATGCAGATCTGACTAGAGCAAAAAATATAGAATTTTAGACCCCAAGACAGGTTCTCTAATTATCCTGCTACCTAGCTCAAGATACTCCACACTGACGGATTCTTACCAGCGGATAGATAGTCTAGCAATTGATGAACAACATAAACTTCATCCAATCAAAATGTTCTGATAGCTCGTACTCTCCTGTTCTATAGATGCGGCCCGTCTGGCCGCTACTCAGCCTCTCCCTTTGGGATTTGTTTCGTAGTAACGATTGAACTTCAGTCGATCATGATAACTATTTTAATTTATAGTGAGCATACGTGCTAGGGTTTCAAGTATTGCATTTTATTTCGATCTCACTCAAATTTCTTGTGCTATAGGCCACGCTCTGAGACCCTTCTATCGTTAATTATGGTATTAAAATACGAAGTATTAAGGTGGTGTTTCAAGCATGGCTAGTTTGAATGGATACATCACCACCATACTAACAGAAAATTTCGCTCGCCAATGTCTAATCTTTACCCTCTGTCCATTGGCATCACTATATTCGTAGTTTGTGAACATTTGAGGTTCTTATCTCACGATCTCTCAGAGCTTATCATAGAAAGACAGCATTTTTACTTTATGTAGAAATGGGCAAGAAGCTGAATGTGAAGAAAGTTCTCAATATGAATTTGTGTATGAAAATGATAAAGTAAAAGTGTCCTTTGGTGATGTTGTGAATACTTTCTCAGGATATATATATAGCCAAACTTCCGTATCATTCTACTTGCCCCACAGTAGGAGGTGTCCCAATCGCCAAGTATGTATCAGAGGTCTTCCAAGTTGCTCAAGTCTGTCAATTGATCCTTTGACTCTTAATCAAGCCTTGGCAGTCTACTCGTCTTTGTCTTGAACTATAACCTCTTCCTCCTCGATTACTTCAAACTCTACCAAGTTTGTACAAGGAATCCACAAACGCTGTGTGCTACTCTTCTGATTCCTCCACGTATTTCTTCTGCCCTCTTGTTGCTCCATCTCTTCCACCGTCCCAAAATCCCACCAGAAATTCCATCCCCCTCTATAACATAACTTATATTTTTCGCCCACCTCCATTCCCTCTTCTTGCTCCTCAGTCAGCGCCCACTTTACTTTGAAAGTCCTACTCTCACCAACCGCCAGTGATATGAATTCTTCCTCTTCTCTTTCTATCACGCTGAGTTGCATTTCGTTGAGCTCAAAATTAGAATCTTTTGAGAAGATTGGGAAGCCAAATTCTGTGGGTGTTGGGTTGGAGGGTGATAAATCGATTTCCTCTCCCTCTATTTGTCTTCCATCTTCGATAGAGCTTGGACTCCGTTGTCTCAATATGATCCATCTGCCCATTTTACTGGTCTCTCTTTCGCTTGATGTTAGTCCAAACTCCCGCAGGTCAAAGACCACAGGCAAAGAATTTGGATTTCCAGAGGGGTTCTCGACGTGTCGCTGCGTCATAGTGATCACGTATGGAGAGCCAATGGTGAGAGTAGAGGGTGAGGAGATGACGGAGAAAAGTTGTGGAGAAGCGATGTGTTGGGAATGAGAATAGAATCTTGCGGAGTCAGCGGTGCGGCGGGCTTTTTGTTGTGGAATACGATGAGAGTTTGCTGGGAGGGAGGCGATGTGTGCGTCGAGGAGGTGAATGTAGTCAAACGGAGGTTGGTGGGTGGGGTGGACATTTTGGGTCTCTAAAAAGGTGTTGAGCAGTTGAAATTTGAACCATGGAGATATAGTTACTTGATAGGCTGATTCAGATGAGTTAAGCTGCTGAGTTTATCCTTGGGGATTGCGCATGAAATCAAGATAGATCATGAATTGTGAAACCAGGCTTTGGATTATATTCAATACCACAGTACCGATGAATAATAATAAGCGATAAATAGATGATATTATTGGCTGCGATACAGTATTCGAAAGAGGTGCTTTAAAAATGATGGACCGAATATGAATATAAAAAAGCGGTTGTAAGAACGTCGAACCCCAAAGGCGATAGACAGGGCTTATATGTGTCTCTACTAGAGCGAATCTTAAGTTCTTGCCTCCCTCCTTCCTTAACAAGTAAGATCTCAATGCTCGCTATCATCCTCAAGGAAACAAACTGAGATGTGATCTCATCTTATCACCCGCACGAGGAGTCACACATGAAAACCAATCGGAAGAATTATCCAACAGTTCATGTGGGAAAATTACTCTGAGGTTTCCATGCACCGTAGAGACTGCATCTAGGCACCAATACCAACAATAAAAAAGTGGCTTGATTGGCTAATTTTGGTGGCGTAATCCCAACTGTTGATGTTTCGTTTCAAATTGTTTCAACTGGATTGATGCAGAATCAAGCCCTACCATTACAGGGGGTTGATCACGTTGTGCACGGACTCTCGCTATAGGGCTGTAGGTGTTACATTGTATACGAAGAGCGATTGTTTGGATGAGGTGCTTCTTCTACTGCGTTCTGATGCAGTACATTTCATGTTCCATTGATACCCTCTCTATGTTTCTGAGCTTTATGCTGAGTGTGGGGAGGCTATGTTACAACTTTTTGTGGCTGAAATATATGCCTCGTCTGAGATAAACATCATCTGATCTCTAATTTTATCGCAAGATGTTGCTTAATTTACAATCTCGTCAAAGAAAGGATACGTTGAAAGCAAAAGATATCCTCAATAGTACCTGTATTCTGGATATCCTCAAGGCTGGCTACTACTAATGATGATCAATTAAATCGAAAGTTCCACGATGTGATCCCCAAGAAACTCGACTATTTGTTTCCCATTTACTTGTTTCAATTCGTTGCTGTTGATCTACTTTGCACAATTCATTCCTTCCTACCAACAGATACGCCGTAAATGAGGTGATTATGTTGGCACAAATTGCAACTGTTCTACGAGTCTTGACAGATTGCAATTTTTCAAATCATGAAGTTAAGAGTTGGAACTACGTTGGAGTAGAAATCTGTCTATATAATGACCGAATCTCGTCCAAATGAGTATCTATCAGCATTCTTTACGATTGCATATTTTCATGCAACGCTCCTTTCTCAACGATGTATAGTTTTTCGTTCTCAGTGACACTCATCTTCGCCTACTTGACCTGGCTGGTCGGGCCAGTTACTGCCCACGACGACAAAGACCATGAAAATGAGTATGAACATTCATATGATACGATTGATTCCACTGGGGCCTGGGAGTATCGAAAAAGAGAGTATATATGGCCCCTTTTCATTCATCCGTTAAACTTTGACTTCAAGACACATGAACCTAATCAGAAGTAATTCATAGAACACATCTATTTCCACGCCAATACACCATTGACCCCAGTTGCTCTTCTCGAGATCAGAACCTCAAAAATGCCGAGCTCACTGTCGCTGCTAGCATGGCCTCATACGCCCAAGCAAACCTTGATTCTACCACCGGCGCCCTCTATACCTCTGCTTTCATCCCATCGGATCTCATTTCCGGTGCCAACATTATCACGCAGCTTGCCAACGAATATGGTAATGTTGCCGCTATGAAAGATGGCTCTAACTATCAATTTATTGTCACATGCGATGATACCAGAAAATTTTGTATAGATGGCTATTACGCCTACATGACAGACACTTCGCGGAATTCCGGTACCATGAATCTCTGCTCTGCGTGGTTTGACATCACGGGAACACCGGCGGCCTGCCTCGAAAACCTTCAGAACTTGGTCTCAACAGCGGGAATTCTTTCTGGATGTACGGCGGCATCGCCGAGGTACAGTACTTTAGATGATGTATTGTGGGGAAGAGGGCAGACCCTGCTGCATGAGTGGACTCATACACGCTACTTCACTGGAGGCTCAAGCAAGTAAGGAATTGTTTTCTTTTCAAGTTCTTAGTATCGCGTCACTGACAAATATCTTCAAGAACACTTGACTTTGCGTATGGTGTGCAGGGCTGTCTTAATCTTGCCGCTGGCTCACACTCAATATCCGGAGATAGAGCATGGAGAAATGGAAAAACTGGCAGAGTTCCCAGATGTCCTAGCGATGGGGACCCGGCACAACCAGGCATTTGCGACCCTTATTTATCTATTGACAACGCTGATACACTTTCTATCATAGCAGGTGGGCTTTGGTATAGTGACAAAGCTCAATGCAACCGAGTTCTTCCCATTGGTCGAGTAGCAGCTGCGCCGCCTACCCGTAAACACAAAAGTAAAAGGCAGCACGCAAGTAATGATGAAAACGAAGTTGCCTTGAATCCTCCTTATTATGGAGATGACCTTCCGTCACTGAAACTTGATCCCAACGGCTGTTGTGGGGGATGTGCCCGACACCCACTTCTTCTGGCGCCTGGACTAGCTGCAAAACAGGCATGATCGAATTAGGCGATGCTACAGTCACCGTGCACTTCTATTAGCCGAAACTCCACAAAACGCGTTTTTTCACGCGTTATACTCCCATAATCACATTTTATTATTTTAATTATACTTTCAATTTATAATATATAATATATTGGAGGTATGTAAAATAATCCTTATAAACATTTTATTTTATATATATATAGCAAAATAGTTAGTAAGATAGAAAAAGACTTTAGTTTCTATTGAATTGCAAAGAGCCTTAAACTCTTTTACAAAACTATATAATATATTTTTTTATAAAATCTAATATATAATAATAGTATATATTTATTATATATTAATCAATTTAAATTATATATTGAATAAAACAAATGAATATTATTATAATATATATAATTATTTCCAAAAGCTATATATAAATAGATTATTCAAAAGGTTAAATTTGATTATAATATTAAAACTATTAAAAGGATTTTAATTGAATATAACATAATCAATTAAAAATATAAAAAAAGATTAAAGCTTATATCAATATATATTACTAAACAATTTAAATAGTATTTAACTTATAGAAAATTAATAATTAAAGAATGAAATCTAATTATATAATCAGATAAATACTCTATAGAATGGGGAAGAAAAAAAGATTAGAATAATACTTTTATATTAATTTTTAGAAATAGGATTTAGAAATGATTGAAATATATAATATAAATAAGAATATAAAGATTATATACTAAAAAAAACTTTTAGAATATTGAAAAGAGTAATCTATATATAATGAATAGGGATTTTGAAAATATAAAATATAGATATAATATCAAATCTTATCTTGAGGTTTTTAAAGTTAAAATAAATCCTATTTTTGAAAAACTTGATTTAGGGTATAAATTTATATAGAATAATACTTCTATTTATTGTTTTTATAAGGTACAAAATTAGTTTTAAAAAAAGGAGATTTTTTTATTAAAGAATTAACCTTTTTATTCCCTCAATCTTAATTCTATAGAGTATATATAATAGGCCCTAAAGATAAGAGTATATAAAATGTTTTCTAATATTATTATTAATAAAAACAAATCAAGATATATTTATTAAAGATTAGAAAATTATTTATAAATAGTTTAGAATATATTGAATAAAGAATTATTTAATAATTTAGGAGCTAATATATTTTCTAGAATTAAGGCTTATATTGTAACAAATAGTTAGTATATTAAATATTAATAGATTAAAAATCAACAATAGAATAATTTTTATATATATTAATAATATAAGAATGCATTATTTATTTATTCAAATTTAATAATTTTATAATTCTTAATTGATTTAATATTTAATATTGAAAAAGGGTGGTGCAATATGTGATATTATAAAATAAGCGGGGGGGCGGATATAAGTGGCCTAGTACTATACTTGGCTCAATGATAACTCGCGCAAAGATGGCAAAGTGACAATCAAAGTGACTGATGCACAGTATAATACGACTGATTACTTGGATATGTTTATCCACATGATTGCGTGGACAGCAAATGCAACGGCTACGGGAAATAACTAAGCTTTTAGAATGGGAGGAGATTACTTGGAAAAAGCGAGATTCCAACCCGTCAAATGGGCAACAGGAACCCACCATGGAACGTGGAGGTGCCCACTTTTGCAACATGAATGGATTCTTAGACAAACAGTTTTATGATGGAATCCAGGAGACGGCAAAAATGTGGTTCGAAACAGAGGTGAGTTGAGCCGCCATACTTTTCCATCATTTCATGACCAGATCCTACTTCTCTGGGACTTGGCTTATAGGTAATCTTGGTAGTTTGGCTTTGACCTCGGTGAGCTAGGCAGCTTTGACTCTGCTAGCAGTGTTAATCTTGTTGGAGAGGTGCTCGGTAACAACTTCGACGCCGTCTTTCCTGAGTTCATATGGCTTATAGAGACGGGAGTTAAGCTTGTAGAGATTGCATGTGAAGCAGCAGAGACGTTTAATCCGACGAGACTTTTACTACGAGACTCAGAAATATCGATTGCTGATGAACAGCTTGCGAAAGCTTGGGCAAAGGAGATGAAGAAGGAGAGAATTCTTCCGATGCCAGAACATAAGAAGCGTGAGCTTGGTCTGATTGAGTGAGTCTCCTCGAAAGGCGCTAATTTTCTTATTTTGATTTTTAATATCTATCTGCACATTTCAGATGAGCTGGGCTCTTGCATGATTGAATTTACGAAACAATGCACTATCCTTACTTCGCGGCGCATGTATACTATTCTTATATAACAACCCATTTCTCTACCTTTACCCTCAATTGCGGATTAATGTTTAGAGTTTCGTGACAAAAATCGTGATCAGATTCTTTCTTATTCATTCCAGTCAATGAGAATCTCGCATTTTCTTTCGGCTGTAAATTGAAGGAAGGTCAAAATCACTCATGGAATTCGAATTTTTTGGGATCTTTCAGAAATTAGAAACAAAATTTGCATAGGTATTCTCTTCCATCTCTCTCAACAACTATCCCATTGACATTGATATTTCCATCTGGACTTCGAAACTTCTGATTGGGCACGTCACGTGATCCACTCCCATTTCCACCGCTCAAGAACTCAACGCTAACAATCGAAAAACGTAGTATTTATCCAAACATTATTTTGCTACAGTTTTATGTTCACATAATTTTGAGTTTTCTCCATTTAAATCTGATCTGCAAAACCATCTACCATATGACAAAACAACATTAGAACAATCCCAAATGCTGTTTTTCAAACAATATAAATACGAGCTCCACCCATTTCTCCAACCATCCCCACACACTTCTCATCTCCAACTAGCCAGCCACCAAGAACTAACCTACCCAACTAACCCCCAAAATGTGTCTCTCAATCAAACACATCCACACCTGCGGACACGCAACCTACCACCCACAACCATGTTCCTCCACTGCCAATCCCCCCCACTGTCCCTATTTCGAAGCTCGCGAGCTCGAGATCAGCAGGAATTGTAACCAGTGTTTGTTGGATCAAGGCGCATATCACGGGATCGTCGCAGGACGCGATCGTACGCACGAGGCGGTACGGAGAAAAAAGAGTTTGGTGCGAGAAAGGGGGAAGGTTGAAAAGGGGAAGATCAGGAAGGAGAATGGTGCGGGCTGTTGTCCGGTTATGTGAGGATTTTTTGGGATCTTTATGAGACGGGGAATAGGTTGTTGTTCTGTTGGGTTTCTCGCTGGTCTGTTTTGAGAATAGCTAAATTGATAATAAAATAGTCTTCATAGCAATAAAATCATCTGAATTTACTTGCATGCGATCGTCTAATTCATCTCGCTAAACTATTTAATCTTTGACATCTCGCTTCAACAACTGAATATCTATCATCAACAAATCCTCGCTTATTACAATTTTCCTCAAAAATAAAAAAGCAATCTATGTATCAACGCAATTCAATAAATTAAAAGAGAATAGGAATATCAGAAACTATAACACATAAAAGAATACTTCAACCACTTGATTGAGAAATCTCGGATTCAAAGAAATCATTGCTGCGTTCTTCACCTCCCACTCAGTCTTTTTCTCCCCTTTACATTCCCAACTCCAGTCCTCAAAACTTATTGAAGTTTTGATATTTGACTTATACTCTTTATAATCATCAAATATTATTGAAAGAAAACAATAACGCAACTTTACTTCCAACTACATTTCGTACTGTCCTCATAATGTTCATTTCCACAAAGTAGAAGGTAGATTATTGATTAATAAAGCTCATTTTGAAAATCATACATGTAACATCATACAAATCAATTCCTCTCTCTCCTAACCTATCATCAAAAAACTATCACAATCAAAATCATAAAGATTACAGCCTTTACATCTCTAGCCTGAAGATCACAAAATTAAATTCGAATCTATGATATTCACCCGAGGCAACTCAGAACCAAAAATATACAAGGTACGAAAAAGTTTCGAATTCCTTTTCCTTTTCCTATAATAATAATAATATAAACCATATATACACGAATTCCTCTACTACCAAAAATCTCTCATACTCGAATTCCTATAGAGATTCGCATAAACAAATTCAACACTATTTCCTCCCAATATCCAGATCTCCGAGGCAGAAAATTTAGACATCTAAATCGCGTGGGTATCTGCAAGAGGTTGAAACATAAACTTCCCATTCAGCGAGTTAATGCGAAAAAATCAAAGATATCCAACTCTACGCCTCACACTCATCGTCCCCACTCGAAGCAACTGCTGTACTCGATGCAGCAGCGCTACTAACAATGGGCGAAGCCGAGGACAATGCCGCCACAGGAATACTCAAAGCACGGATAACCGAACTCGACGGCATGTTTGCAGTCGAAGAAACAGGCGTGACAATCGCCGCCGCAGATGAGATCGCAAGCGATGCAACTACTGTTGGGCTTGAAGTTTGAACGGCTGAAGATACGCTGATGCTGGATGTAAAAGCCATAATTGCTACGGAGGAAGAACCCGAAGCACTAGAACTAACACTCACACCACCCTGAAAAAACGACCCCGCCATCTGTTCCGCCACCCCCTGCGCGACCAATTTCTGAATCGCCTGACCGGGATGCAAATCATTGTACCAAAGACAGGTCGTTCCATCTGCATCAAAACAGGTTGCATTCGTAGCGCCATAGGTAGCTGGAGCGTCGAGAGCTGTATTGAATGGAACTTGGGTGTCGGAAACATAGGTCGTGGATCCGGAATTTGCGATTTCGAAAGCGGAGACGCGGGTGCTGAGTTCGGTGTTGTAGGCGCTGATGACGGTTGCTTCGGAGGAGGTAACCGAGTCGCCGTAGGCGAGCATCATAGGAGATTTATCGATGGCTGGGAGGGGAGTTAGAATGGGAGGGCTCGGATTGATGGATTCACAGGCGAATGATTCTCATTGTCTAGGAAGTTTGTAGGGTGAATGAGGAATTCATGTAACTCACGAGGACAGTTCAGAAACAAAAAATTTCTCCCTCCAGCATCATACACCTGTTGCACTTGTGCGAAATAGCTATCAAAAATCGCAGTAATGGCATTTGTCTTATTGGCCAGCCAATACGAATTCCCAATATCATTGACCCCAAACCAAAACGCAAAAAGCGAGTTATCCGCCGTCCAAGGAGCATCCGTCGGAGCCGGCGAGAGATGATCCACGAATTCCGCGGTTTGATTAACCAGAGTCAAGACGGTATTTTCATAGGGTGCAACAATGTTGGCATCGACAACCGCACCACCGTATGCGAAATTGTATGAGAGGATAAGCGAGGAATTGTAGGTTTCGACCAGGTGACCAATCCAATTGATGCCATTGTCGCTGGTGTAGCCTGGGAATGCGGGATTCCCGAATGGATTTGTAGCGGACGGTTGTGTGCTGGTGATGTCGAAACCGGTTTGGGAATAGGAATCTCCGCTGGTGTTGTTAACATCTATATACATAGATCACTTATCACTGATTGAGAGTTGGGGTAAAGTATATACATACAAGGAAAAGAGATACTTGGCATCAGCCGTTGCACGCGACGTGAACGATTTAATAGGAGAAGCGAAAGTGGAGCCAACCAGGGCCAACAAAGCAACGCGATTCATCATGATGTTAAAGAAAGTAAAGATGAAGTCTTCATATATAATCGAAAACATGCAGGAAACGGAAATCAAACGAAATACAAAAATCAATCGCTCACCATATATACAGAGATGGGAATGGATTAATATATATAAACATCTCCATCCAATGAAGTAACGTGAGAGGATTCCCACCGAGAGAAAGAATACACCCGATCGATTAATGATCACAGGTGTAGCAAGGAAGTCACAACCAGCAGTGAACTGGCCAATCAAGAGAGTGTTGCACATATATAAACATCCAACATTGTGTTTGAGAAAAACAGAATGTGGTCTGTGAGAGTGAGATACAAATGAAGTACATCAAGTGGATAATATTGTTATTACTATTACATGCTTTTGAAGATTCCGTTCTCCTTATCACGTTGACATGCGGATTTTTGGTACCGAGGTGTGTATCGTATATCGTGCATCAAGGAACAAAAGTTTCGATACTCGATCCATCTATCTGAGATGCTAATCTAATAAGCTTAGGTACCTACCTAGATGAACATACGACAATTGCAAAGATATCACTCATCACAAACTCTCGAAATCCCTTCCTCCCAAGAAGCAGTGATAGCGAAAACCCAACATTCCCCAAATCTTTTTCAAGTCAAACAATACACTTTCCAATCTGATCCCAACAACAACCATCCTCCCATGAACCCATCCTCCCATCAACCCATCAACATATCAAAACATCAACTCATCCCCTCCCATATTCCCACACCCCATCAACACCTTCTTCTTCAATCTATTAAATCCAACAAATATCACATCTCAAAATCATATAACCCCTCATAAAATGCAAGGCTAACCCTAAAAATTACATATCACGTGATCTTTACATTCCCGTCACAACAACTTCCGCGCCACTTCTACCAAGCTCAAATATTGCAACAGCATAGGAAACAGCGTGATAAGTCTCAGAGTCTCAGAGTCTCACGAAAACAGTTCAAATTTTTGACTCATAGTATCGATATAATAAAGTATTTAAAACTGTGTATATATATCGTTGTTTGATGTTCAAAATCTCTCCCGTTGTCCCCCTTTCAATTCCCTTTCAATTCCCACGACTAACCACCCTACTAATTCGATCTATCTACCACAGGATTAAAATATTAGAATCTAAAGATTATATATTAACCCTCATCTTCATTTTACTGCCCTCATCTCCTATCCATCCGAATCCTATCCACAATCTCCTTCCCAAACAAATCCCGTTCTACCAATTTTGAACCTTCAATCCTCATAATAGATATAAGAGATTCATTAACCATTACAGAAGATCCCCCAGATCCCCTTCAAATCCATCCTGAATATCTCGCCCATACCATGCACACAGAAAGTAGCCCATCCATACCATTCCCAAACCCCGAAAAGTGAACCCCAATGTAACCCATATATAACAAACTCCTCAAAATCCCGTTCGTACTATGATTGGAATCTCCTTGTATACAACCCAAAGCTTCAAATCCTAAACCCATATGCCGATATCCAGTTTTTCAATTCATACACAATCATTTCTTTTGTACAAGTCTCTCCTTCTCTTCAATTATCTTCTAACTCCACCCACCTGGAATGTTCACAGCAATTGAGTGAAAAGACTCGGTATTCTCTTTGGTAAGAGTAGGTCTCTCAGCTGAGCGTGCGTTATCGAGGATTTCGATCTTCTCGTTGAAGTTTGAGCTTTCGTTTGCTGATTTAATTGCTGCGTGCTCTTCCTCGACCTGTTCATGAGAGTCTGATTCCTCTGATTCAACATCCTCCATGAGGACAGGAGCTTGTTCGAAACTCAATCTTTTGGGGCTGAAAGGAAGTGGTACCATGCTAGCTTGAGATTGCTCGAAGCTCTTTCTATTTGGGCTAAAAGGGAGTGGTGTCATGCTGGCTTGTTCTAAGCTACTTCTCTTGATATTGTTGCTCTCAACACCATGTACATCGACCTCTTCGAAACCTTCTTTCGATGAACTTCTATCACTGTTTAGGGTAACCATAGAAAATTTGCTGTTCCTCAATGAATTCCTGGGGGGTAATGGTGGTGGCGGACCTCTCTTTGGAATGTTCACAACACCACCTCTTGCCTTGATTGCTTGGGGAATAATCACTGTAGCTTGTGCTGAAGCAGCTTCGAAAACGACCGGTTCCTCTTCCTCAAAATCTTCATCGTCGTCTGAAATATCATCCATTGAGTTGAATGAGTCCTTTGAATCCTTTCGTCTCTCATCGGTTTCCTCGGTAATTAGAGGGCTACCGTTCATTGTCGTACCGTCGAATTCTTGACTATGGTTCAAGCTCTGATATGGTCCGAGATCAATTTTCGTGTAGTCGACTTCTTCCGGTTCCAATACAATTGCCTTTTCATCTTCTTCTATAATCTTGTTGTCTTCACTGTAACTCGGACTAGTGCTTGGTGATAATGTGCGAGGTGATCGGATTGAAAGTGAATCGTCTGTTTGCGTGCCCATTTCAGTAGTCTGCGTTCCTCGATCCGTGCTTGTCCTTGTTTTCCCTGACATGTAACTTTCCCTATTGCTCCTTGCACCCTGAGTGTCAAAACTTCGTCTGTTGAATCTGGTGAAGATCGGACTTGATGGAGATGGGTTGTATTCAAATTGTGAACTGACTGGTCGAGCCTTCGTTCCCGCTTCGCGAATCTCGAATCCTGCATCCTCTAACGCCAATACCCCGAAAGGGTCTGGATCATCTGGTTCAGGGATGCCAAAGGTTGGTATCATCGAGGTAGGTGCTTGTAAATCCACATCACCAGGTGATGGTTCATCTTTCAGTTGATCTAACAAGTTTGTATCCACATCTAGCTTGCCTTCTGCGGCCTTGATTGTTTCCATAAGTAATTTCGTTTCAAAAGGTGCATTTCGAACCTTTCCAGCCAAGATATCTGCGACTCCAATTCGTTGTCCGTAAAATCGCTCGTTCTCATCTGTTCTTTCGATGATAACCGTCCCGTCTACCTGCACACCTGCGTAGAAGCCACGGGACTTTAAGTAAGTGAATATTGGCTTATTAGCTTGTTTCCAGTTTCCATCGTTTTCTAAAACTCCCCCAACTCCAATGGGACCTGCCACAGCACTAATCTCTCCTCCTAAGGTTGCTCTTATTTTCGTGAAGGATTCGAGAGTTTTGCGATTATTGATAACAACAACACAATCATAAATATCGACACCGACCAGAAAGCCCAGCCCTGCAGTATGTAAAAGAATTCCAGAAGGGGGCGACCATGTGCCATCTTCTTTCCTCGCAATTAATATTCCAGATCCTCCGGCCCCCGAAATCCATAAGCCTGTTCGCATAGTTGTGAATATGGCCAAACCGACAGCATTTTCAATAACCTTTTGTGGAATCTTCTTCAAAATTCTTTGTTTGGAGTTCGCATTCGGACCAGCTTGGGTAGATGATCGATCTTCATCGGTATAAAATCCATCCCCTACAACGTAGTCATGTCAGCGAGGAAACTCAAGAGAAATGGAATGAGAAGGAGGCCGCAAGTACTCACTACAGAAAGTTTTCAAAATCCGAGCAGCTTTGTCGCATTCCTTGTCTAAAGAAGTCTATTTTTCCTCATTAGCATCTTGAAATCCAGACTCTGAAGAATGTACATGAGAAGGAAGCAAAACTTACGGGCCAAAATGCTTCGGAACCAATTTTGTTTGTTAATCTATTGACCGGAGCACCCAGTTTATCTGCCCACGCCCAAGTCTTATCAAAACTTTTCTTACTGGTGGTTTTCGTCCTATCCCATGATGGGAGCCATGAAACTGCTCTTTGCATTTTTAATCTTTCGTCTGGTTGATTTCGTAAATACCTAGTATGTTGTGCGAGAAGTTCCTCCGTTTAGGCTATTCGAAGTGGGATGGGAAAATGTGATTAATGATGACGACAGTCTATGCGTAGGTGGGTAAAGGAAGAAGAACCCTTTCATTGTCGTTCTTCAAGGGAAACAAAAACGAGAGAGTCCAGGAGGGATTGAGGGGTTTTGAATTCCTTCTTCTTTTCTTTTGACTTTGCCCTCTTCCTGCAGAAACAATAATAAGAATAATAATAATAATGTCCCAAATTAGGTCAGGGTCAATTAATGATTTGGGGTCATGAAAATGAATCGTGATCGGTCGTTGTTGTTAAAAAGTGCTAGTCAAGCCAACGGTATCTACGGAATGAAATTTCGAGGCTTGACAGGAACGAAGTAAGTTGGTACAATTGTGTAGTCTTGTAGTAGTCTTGTAGTAGTCTTGTAGTAGTCTTGTAGTAGTCTTGTAGTAGTCTTGTAGTCTTACAAGTGCTCTTACTCGAGTAGGTAGTTAGTGAGTTGCCCAGGTACAGTTCCAAGTTCCTAGTTCCAACTTGCAAGCCCTTGGATGCGTGCGGGCTGAGTAACTGTCCTATTAGTTTCTGTTTTTGCTTTTCGATGCTTCTTCCTAGGGTGCTCTCCGATCGCCAATCAATTCCACGTATCCGAACGAAAGTTTGCGGAAGAGGCGGGCGAGATCCAAGGACAATATAGTGATGTCCGAGCATACATAAGAGTACCGGAAGCTAGGAAGTGGCTGGTAAGATTACGATGGGAATTCCACGCTATGCGATGTATGTTAAGAAATCGGTAGAAAAGGAAAGTTCATAGGAGAAAAGCAAGAAGAAAGAAGAAGGGAAAAAAGTAAAATTCAGCTAGATTGAAAAATCAATTAGTCTAATTCAATTCCATATCACAGTTTCTTTGTGGCCCCAATCACTCGGTCTATAATATCTTCACAATATATCTCAATCTATCCATATTTTTGGAACATTCCAATTTTATTTATTATTTATTTTCCGTTACAGAAAAACGAAACAAATTGGAGAAGAAATTTCCCTACCAATGGAATCCCTCATCTCCAATTAACCTAGGGGTGTTCAAGGGCGTTGTCAGTATATTCGTTCTAGAGAATGTTTCTGATCTTTCAAAGACATGGGGTTCCTTGATGTCCAGGAAAGGCTGACTTCATCACCAGGTTTGTTTGCCCAGGCATGTCAAAAATTTCACGATTAATCTGGAAGCTTACCATTACCACTCTTACCACGAGGGAAGTGGGCTCGGTGGGACAAGGTGAGTTGGCTAACAGAGAGGTCCTTGTATACTCTATGAATTCGTACCTAATGTTGTCATGGGAAATGCAAAGAAGCATAGAAGTTGATCTCAGATACGAAATATATATACCTAGAGAGTAGAGCGAGTCCCTTTCTTTTCTTGGTAGAAGAGATCTTTATTTTACTAATAATGCACTCATTGTTTTCAACTCGACTTTGATTTCTGGTCAACTGCATCTGCATCTGCATCTGAAAAGGAGAAAAAGGGTCACAAGTGAGAAAGAATGTTGACGATGGGGTCCAAAGGGGCCATACATTCATTCACTGGTCACTGGGTAGCAATGGGGTCTGAAATTTGTAGGAAACTCCTGCATCTTGTGATTGTTGTGTATTGTAACGCCGTCCCACGTTCGCCTTGGATATCCTTTTCTCTATCAGTACAGTTCATCCTATCGTTACACCTAAAACCCCAAATCATAAGTCATAGCCGACTTCTTATTTACGAGACTAATCGAGCAAGCCGACTGAACCCCGCATTCATAAACCAACCGCTTTTCTTTCCGTAAATTTCGTAATATTCGTAATCGATAGTTCGTTACGTCGTCACACTAAAGGAGACTCCGTCGATAAATTTTATCCTTAAAAGAGTGTTCCAGTTAATCCTTCTCCGCCAGATTTCAATCCTCCGACCAATCCATCTCCACAAGAGTCGGCCCCTCCTAAAATTCCATTCGCAACGCCCTCTCCGTTTGTCTTCAATCCGCCAATGGGTCCTTTGCCTTCTCTAACTTTTTGTGCTTGCTGATTACCCTTTAAGTCACCTACAAAAACACGTCATTAGCATTAATCAATTATAAATGGTCCGAAGACTGAAGAAACACAAGCAAGGAGTAGACTCAATGGTCAACATGCAGGGGACATGAAGCTACTTACTTGCGAGGAAATCTGTTCCTTCTTGAAGTCCTTGAAGTCCCATCTTCTTTGCTTCAGCCTTGGCCTTGAATTTGAATGCGAAGACGCCCAATTCCTCGATGTAATCATCGAGAAGTCCCATGGCATAGGCACCTCCGACGAGAACAACGATTGTTGTGATAGTCGCAAGGACGACATAAAGGGTATTGGCCATGTTGGATGTTTGAAAAGTGGTATCAAAAGTTAAAAGGAGGATGTTACTGGTTTTGTGGGCGATTTGAATGGGTGTAATTGATTATTCTGCGCAAGAAGGGTTCTGTTGATGGAATGAAGGAATAGGAAATAATAAATAGATCTTGATACATATTATATATATTCAAACCAAACCTACCTTTCCATGCCCATCAACCTGCCTGTCCTCTTATTCTTTGTTGCTGCATATGACGTTTTACTGATTTTTGGAAGTGAATATAGTACGCAGGAACAAGTTTATGTGGATATTCCTCTTTCAAAAGCAGGTTGTTCATAAGGAATGTTGGCCCATAAGCCCAGTAAACCAGTAAGCCAGTAAGTTGAAGTCAGACTTTGCAGTGATTCCCTGATCATTATTTTTGAGAAACTACTCGTGTGGCCAGAAAGTATGCAACTTCTACCTCAATAGGATTAAGCCACTGTGGGGAAGCTATCTAGTGCTTTAAAGGGGCACAAATCAATGGAATTTGTGCTGAAAGTAGTAGGGCTTCAATATAAGCGAGCCATTCAATAGATTCATTTTTCCAAATCTCCATTTAATATAGTGGGATTGAAAGAATCAGTGGATTCCATTGGCCCACTAAAGCCGATATAGCGTATTTAGCGCCGGAGTTGCATACTTTCTGGCCGCACGAGTACAAACAAGATACAATGACACAAGAGTTGACGTTGGCGATAAATCATTTGATGAAGGGGTAATTTCAAAGCTTGCGATGAATTGATGCGCCAACCTCAAAACCGTTAGCTTCCATATTTGTCCTAGGTCACGTGCACTTCGTCTAATCAGATCTCACACTCTCATGAGTTTCTAATCAAGTACCACTGAGATTTAACTACTATTCAATTAAATTTATGTAATTTATAGTACTTTGAGCTTCAACTAATCAGTCTAATTACTAGAAGATCAATTTTACTAGGTAGGTAAACTTTACCATGTTTTTATGCTTCTGGCATCACTTAGTAATACACATGCAACGGTCTTACATCCACCAGCGATCTCACGTTAGTAAAATATGGGTCTGAGCCGCTGAGGATTGTCACCTTGTCAGACAGGGGGAAATCCCAACGACACTTTCTGTAATGTTGTCGAGACATTCTGATACAAACTCTTTTTCAAAACCGAAAACTCTATATATAAGGTTGCATACCGATAGCTTCCGGGGAAATTAATGAACCTTCACAGTCGTGCATAATGGGCTCCAAAACAATCATTCTAGGAGCACTGACTGTCCTTTCCGCTGTCTTGTATCAAACAATCCTGAAGGATTGGTTGTACCTCAATTTCGGAGTAGGACGAACTCATAACAAGCTCGAAGATTATCCGTTTACATGTCGACGAGTAGAGCATCCGCTTTTAGAATCTTGCGAAGATCTCTTTCTTGATCACGAGGATCGTACGTTGTATGCGGCATGTTCGACAATTGCAAGTCGACGAGGCTGGGGTCCGGGGTAAGTCAATACATTCTACGTCTGTAATGCACGACATACTTACAAAATTCCCAGGGGAAATCTTTATAATATATCCCAAAGAACCTTGGAAGATCACGTGTCAGTACTTAAAATTGATGAGCCAGGAGAGGATGGACTTTATGGATTACACACACTAGAGGTTTCAGGAGAATATCAGGGGGTGGATAGTCATAAGTCTATTGATGTCCATGGATTTGATGTTGAGTTCTTGTCCGATTCCCGATTGAGGTTTTGGATGATCAACCACAGACCAGCAATTGATGAATCTGGCAATTTTCTCGATGCTACAAAAGTAGGAGCGAATTCTACCGTGGAAGTTTTCGACTTGGTTCCTGGATCTAAAAAATTGGAATTCGTCAAGACCGTTGCCAATCCAATCATCAAAACTCCAAATAACATTGCCGCGACCGGAGATGGTGGTTTTGTATTTACTAATGATCATTCTACTAAAACTGGGCTTGTAAGTAGACCTATATCATTAATACGTTAGTCCAGGCTTGCTCACCAATCTATAGCTTCGCTCATTAGATATGTTTTTTGGAGGAGGAAATATCGCTGTGTGCGGGTCTGACAATCAATGTCATTCTGGTCCCTCTAATCGAATTCCCAATGGCATTGTTCGAGGACAAGATGGCCTCTTTTATGTCGCCTCAACCCTTAGAGGAAAAGTTTTCGTCTACGCTTTAGAAGCCAACAATACATTTACTCAAATCGACGAAATTGATCTGCAAATGCCATTGGACAATCTATCCGTAGATGCTAATGGCGACATTTTGGCAGCCGCTTTTCCAGATGTACTCAAGCTGGTAAAAGCGATGGATGATTCTACAATCAATGTTCCCGCTACGGCTTTCAGGATTCGAAAATTTGATACCGAGGATGGAGGGTGGAGATATGTGGTTACTAAAGTTTTAGAGGATATTCAGACCAGTGTTCTGTCGGCTGCTACTTCGGTTGTACATGATCCTAAAACGGGGAGGTTGTTTTTTGGTTCTCTCACGACGTCGTTTGTTGTCGTGTGCGATAGGGCTTAGAGTTACTTATCCGCATTGATTGTAAAGTTAGAACTTAAAGACGCAATCAATCAATCAATCAATTAACTAGGTTTCATGTTGATAAGCCGATATTCTTATATTGTTACCCATTTCCAGATGTGCTATACATCTCGATCCTCATCATCCCAAAAGTTCCTAGCTCCCCCTTTCAAAATCCAAGTTGGATAAAAATCCCCCTCAACTCACAATCACATATATACATAGAAACCCTTCCTTTCCCAATACCGAATCCCAAAAACACAAATTTCCAATCCCCTTCCCAAACCCAATATCCACAAAGCAAACAACGCCCCCCCCCTCAAAAATCTACATAAACCCCTCCAACGGACTCCCCAAAATAAAATCTTCCACAGGACTGGCCACCAAATCTCGCGTCGTGAGCAAAAGTCCCATATTCCGATGCTGATGAATCGAAATTAGGGAATCGATGCTTGTTGTGATTGATATTTTGGGGGCTGTTTTGAGTGCGGTTGATGAGAATGGAAAATTGGAGAATGTGTTTGAGGAGGTGGTGGGGGGTTGGGGTGTTGGGGGTTTGGAGTTTGAGTATGATGCTGATGCTGATGCTGATGCTGATGTGGAGGATTGGAGAAGTTTCGGGGAGGAATGGGAGGATGTGGGGCTGGGATTGGGTGTGGAAGTGGAAGTGAAAGTGGAAATGATAGCTTGAGATGGTTCTAGGAGGGGAGTTAGTGAAAACATGGATGAAGATAGACGTGTGAAGGCATCTTACGCTTTAACATATTTCCACCCATATATTCCATCTCCCTGTCATGTGAAAACCCTGAATCCTCATTATCCCACGAAGAACTCTCCATGTCGTTTTTGCTAATCGATATTTCTCAACAATGATATCGACGACGAGAAAAATAACTTTCCAGTAACAGTCAGAAACGAACTGGCGCATGGGATGGGTGTGGGATGTAGAGAGGGTCATGGGGAGTTATGGGATTGGGATGTACGGTATGAGGTTTTAATGATATGGGAATGGAGAGGATGTACCTTTATTATCTTACTGTATGTATGTACCTATGTAATGAATGAGGCGTTGGAAATGACGGAATGGCCAGGGAGGTGACCGGAGGCGTTACGCACTTGTGGGTGGGAGAATTCGGGACTTGGCCACTTGGGTATTCGATGTCGGAAATTGTGAAATAGGATGCAACGTTTATGGGGAAGGAGAGAATGATGAAAAGATAAATTGGATTTTTGAAACAAGTGGCGTCTCTATGTTTATACATAGGAATCATCATTTATATATCTTCAACGCGATCTGAGGTAAACACGCGGTTCGTGAGAAAATTTTTGCCGCCCGAGAAGGTACCCCGGATTTCTATTTTTGGATGCTGAAGGATTCACATGCACGTGGAAGGAGATATGATATGATATGGAGTGATGTGATGTGCTAGAGGAAAATTGGATTGCAGGCTGTAAGTTTTAGAAACGGGAATCAAATTTTTGAAAGCAAATTCTTTCGTTTGATGAACGGGATTCTGTGCGTGGAGAAGTATATCATCTTTGCGAATATTTGCAGATGGATGTAACCTTAGGGATGGCCGATCGGGTCTATATCATGGTCATTGGGTTTTTGATGATCATCTATTGAAAGAGATCTTTGCGGTGGGTTGTTGCATATCTGATATCAATATAGTGATTTCATTGAAAAAATATTTCTTGTGCTGATTATAAGAGTTTCAATGATGATATGATGAGCCGCGAGGAAAACTCACGAGTGTTATAAGGTTATATTAGCCGCCAAAAGATCGTTTAAAGGAACACTAACAATTCCAAGAGAAAGTTAAAGAGTGGAGTATAGAACTTAATTATGAAGTTAATTATTATCCCGGATACTTCTGAAACATAGTCGTTTTTATTATGAGATCGTGAGATGGATCGTTAGCTTTTCTTGTGTACGGAAAGTGGGAGTTCTGAGTTCTCGTGACATTACAAGTACAGACGCTCGTGGTGTTCGGGAATATATCTTCTGTACTTATTAATTTGATTTTTCCGATTCAGTTTGATGATTATGAAAAAAGACGTGTTTATAATAACTAGATGTCTTAAGTTCATATTGTCATCCGGGTCGGACTAAGAATTGATTCAAAGGCAGCTCTTGACCAGCGCTGCTAACATTTGAGTATCTACTCTGTGTTGTAATACCTCCTTTCCCCTTTATTCGAATCTCGGCAATGATCTTTGAGGTAAAGTTTTGGAGCAAATTCTCAGGCAACATCTTGAGTCTTCTTGTATGTCTATGATGATGACGTTGCTGCTGTCAGATATATTAATCGTCGTAAGCGCCGAGATCGCTCTTAACCTTATCGTCCGTGCTATCGGTGCCTTCACGTACACAACTTAAAATCACTGCCTAGATACTAATCAAGATTCTATTGTTTTGTAACACTGCTTAAGCAATTCATCCCCACTTCAACTCAACTTAATTTTAATGTCAATGATAACTTCACCTCCCGCCAATTCTTCAAATCCTCGACGTAGGAAGCGTAAAGATCAAGCTTGTGAACCTTGTCGGAAGGCAAAAACACGCTGTGATCATACAACTCCCATTTGCTTGCGGTGTCAACGAAAAGGTGCCGCTGCAAATTGTGTATATGTGCCCTCGCATCCTCCAAGTCATGGCCCTTCCTCTGAACACTCGATATCCAATCCCTCTCAGCCCGTCAGAGATATCACAGACGACTCCTTAGTGTCACCGCAAATATCTGGATCCATAGATTCACGAATAGATCATGCTGCAGCATCAAGAAAAGTTTTGGGATTCTATGGTCCCACGAGTTTTTCAGCACCGTTTCTTGATAACGAGAATGGCCTCGTATCGGATGTTGACGATGAGGCAGAAGGTACATTTTCTGCAGCTTCGATAACGACGCCCCCCACGTTATCCATAGTCACGAATGGTCAACAAACCGCGGAAATATCTTTGGGAATGAGAGTTTTGAGTCAACTTCCTGACCAAATTACCTGTGAGTCACTCATGGAAAATTATACTTTGATATCAATAGAGTATGCTTTCCACAAGCCTACTATCCTCCACTGTATGAAATCCCTATGGTCCACATTCGGTCAAAGTCTACGACATCCCAGGAGGCCAGAAAGACTCAGAGAGGTAGCTTACTTGTTGAGCAAAAATACCAGCACAGAATTTCCTGACGCTGAAGATGGAGATGCTTGGTTATCTTCAATGTCAGGTATGAACTTTAGGTGGGAAGTTCTGGGTATATTATTCTGTGTACTGGGACATCGGACTGCTGGTATGCGAGACAAGGAACAGGAATACTTTTCTGAAACACAGTCAGGTAGACGAAAGAAGAGGCTTGTTTTTACGGAAGAAATGTACGAGTGTGCTGAGGGCTGCGTAGAAATCTGTAGTAAGATGGATGTAGGTAACATTCTTATGCTGAGTTTATTGTGGAAAACAAACACACTTCAGAGTGAGATCATAGGAGACATGTGTAAGACATATCTATTTCTGGTGAATGATGATGAGTCTATTGCTGATTATGATGCTACAGCCTTCAAATTATGGAGAAGACAGGGCGACAAAGTTCATCTTGCTACAGCTCTAGGTCTTCACCATTGTGCCATTCGACCCGACGCCGGAGTTACGACTTCGCTAGAGATCAAGAGGCGTATCTTTTCTGCTATATTTGTCAACGATAAGACGTTGTCGATTTTCACTGGTAGGCCTCCTGGCCTGAGCCGTCGCTATAATTCATGCCCGTTACCTCTTGATCTCGAAGATGAGATCCTTCTGGCTGGAAAGGAGACCCTTCAAGAAGAAGCGAGTAAGCTGGATGAGAATGGTTGGAACAGAGAGGGTGATATATATTCTTCCTCGAGAATTCGAGCATCGATGATGTATGGTGAGATCATAGATGAGATATTGGAAATTTCACTCGGGACTGTCAATCAATTCTCCGAAGCTCGTATAATGTAAGCAGAGCTCCGAGAAACCATTCGATGTCTAACTAGATTAGGGACTTGCGAAAACGAAACGAAGATATTCAGCAGCGGCTTCCACCGTGGCTTCGTCTTTCAAGCTCTACTCCAACCAATTCATCTACAACTACTCATTGGATACAGACTGCACTCAAATTCAATTGTCTTCAGTGTTCATTCATTTTGGAACAAGTTTTCGTTAGGAAAGTCCAGGGTGACAAGCAGCCACTGCTTGACATTTCGAGACAACTCTTGGCGCTAACCGTTTCCATGTGGACTTCTAAAGATCGCTTTGTGACCTATTATTCCGATTATGACTGGATTGTAAGTAGTGGCTCACAGTTGTTAGTTTATGCTAGGATAAGCTAACAAACCTTCAGATCATGTGTTACGGAATTCCATCAGCAGGCGTCATATGTGTTGAACTCATCAAAGAGATGGAAAACCCCGCAGCACAGCCGACCTATTACCTGCCTCGATCAGAAGTAATCCAAAACCTTAGTCTATTAGTCGGCTTCCTAGATTGGGTAAGACCGACAGCTGCGAATCATGAACTATGTGGAAGAATGCGTCAAATAGTCAAGAGGACCTTGGATAAGATTCTTGATCCCCCTAAAACCACCAACACTCCCAAAGCGTCTACTTCTATCGCAGTTCCGTTATCAAATCTTGATTTCGAACCGATGGTCATGGACGACTTGGACTGGCTGGATACTATTGATTGGGCAAAAGGACAATTTATGGACTTGCGAATGGAGGGATATAATGAATTCTCTTGAATTAACAGTTTGGTCCGATTTTGCCTTTTTTCTAATGCCAGTACAAACCCACTTAATTTCAGAAACTTGAAGATCTTCGAGCATTTTTTGATAGTGATGATGTACTTTTGTTTTTAGCGTCTATTGTACTTCTGATGGGTTTAACAGGAGCAGTGTAGATCACACGAACTATATCTAAAATTCTTCACCAGAAATTTTAGTAATCCAGCCATACAGGTTGCTTAACGTATCGAGAGTTTCTTATATCCATTACTATTGCTTGTGAAATGTTTTACAATGAATGACAGCTTTAAACAATCTAGTAAGAAATAGCGATTCACAAAACCTATGTCGTTGAAAGCTGCCAAATTCAATTGTGGGGCAGGGGAGTTCTAGATTGAGTCTAGACTAGCATGTACTAATAATAGTACTTTTCATCTAAAGCTCAGGTCTAAAATCAAATTACCCCACAATTATGGCTAATTGTATATAGATTACAAAGTAGTACATGAATGAACTTGCTTGGAATTGCGTGAAAAAGTGGGATTGTGTGAAAGAGTAGAAATGTGGTATGAATTAAAGATTAGGACATGAAGTAGCTTTTACCAAGAAGGTATAATCGTATATGACAGTTGTATATGACAGACAGTTAGAACTTCAACTAGCTCTTTCCTAAACTTAAAACATATACCATGAAAAGACTATAGTGTGGAATTTAGCATTAGGACTTGAAATAGTACGCACTCATTAGACAGAACTTTCGCAAGGGAATGTCGATCTAGTTTCTCGGGAACCTATGAATTTGAAGTCTACCCCTGCTATGTTATCTGCTTTTTGATGTCTCCGGTGCTCAGCTTTCTACCTACACTTACCTAAACTTCGTTCGATGGTTCGGATGCATTAGACAACACTTCCTAATAATTTATCTGAAACTCATACTTCTTTGAATTTCTCTGATATCAAATCATAACACATATCATCTTTAATCTAATTTTCACTCTCATACTTTGGCGATCTTCTTTCAAATCTTTTCGACATCCTAAGCATAACTTTCAAGCTCATCACTTCAACTCATACAGTCACATCAAATTTATCAATATCTGCAAATGTCTTTCATGAAATCTAGCGATATGAATGGTTTAGGCAAAGGAAAGGGAGTCGAAAGAAGAAGATCAATCACTGCTGAGGATGCTGTTGAGAATAAACGTACTACCAACGAGAGAAAAAGAATTATGTCGTCCAGTTTCGATGGAGAAGCAATAAAAGCAGTTACCACACAACCACTTACCGAGTTCTACCTTTTCCAAAAACTTCCTCAGGAGATTAGGAATATGATATGGAATTGTACTTTCCAAAAAGACGTTGCTGTCCAAGTGAGGAACAATGGTGGACTCTATCCCATGCAAGGTGTCTTCGAAGCTCCAAGCATGCCTGCCCTTCTTGTCAATCATGAAGCGAGGGAGGAAGCTCAAAGCCACATGGAGAAAACAGTAATGTTTGGAACTTTCCCCTTCAACAAAGAATCCGACACCCTGCACCTATTCTTCCCATTGTGCTTCTGGGCTTCATGATTAGACTTCGGAGAAAGCAGTCCCCTTTCTTCGCTAAAAGTCAACCACATCGTCCTTAATGGTTTCTTCTTCCGCCGATTTCTTGGGATCGATAATTCTCCGATCGAACAACTCGAACGTCGCACTCATCAGTTCTTGACAATTCTCTCCAAAATGCCAGGGTTGGAAACTATATCTGTACCCACCACTGGAAAGGATGTAACCTCACGCACCGGAGATGGCAATCAAACGGATACAGAGGCTCAGAGGTTTAAGAATTTCGAGTTTATCGACGAAACTTTCCAGAGAATGGCGAAGGAATTCCAGGGAAAGCATTGCCCGGAGTGGGAGATCCCAGCTTTGATCTATCTAGACGACCACGCGAGCGAATCGAACCATTTTTCAGTGGACAAATATTAGGCTTTGGTGTTGGAAATGTTGGAAGTCTAGAGAAAGTTCCCCCCTGCCTGCGATACACGCTTTGAATACACTGGCTTCTGTTCTCTTGTTCTTGGCTGAATGATATGGCCGGTAGCGAATTTCGTAAATTTTGGCTGGACATTGGGCTTTGTTATTGTTTTATTGAAAGTTATAAATTATAATAATAAAAATAATTATTATTATAATAATAATAGAAGACTTAATTGATTTAAGCTCAGGAACAAATCGAATATATATAATAAAAATTGAATTAAAATCAATTTTTAAAAGTTAAACTAAATTGAAATAAAAATTGCTTACTTATTCTAAATTTTCTTTAAAGAATATTCTAGATTTATGTAATTTATAATAAAATTCTAGTATATTCTATACTTATAAATAAAATCGATTTAAATTATATTTTATGGAATTGTATTATATTAACGTGGTTTATCATCGAGTGGATTATATCATCGAGTGGATTACTTTCATTTCAATTTTTTATATATCAATTCAATATATGTTTTATTAATCAATTATTATAAAATTGATTATTAAAGAAATTTGAATACTTTTAGTTATTAAGGTTATTCAAAAAGATAAAAAACTTAGTATATAATAATCTATTAAGATATATAATGTATTATTTACAATATTATATTATAAAATAAATGGCTTAATTTCATATATTAAAATTTAAGCGAATCGATATAAACTTATAGAATTAAAAAAGAATATTATTATTTAATATATTTTTGATATAAATTCAAAAGATTTTTCTATTTAAATTTAAAGGAATAAAAAATATAGCAAATTATATTCTTGAATTAAAAGATGAAAAAACAATTAGAAAACTCTAAGTATATCGATTTATAAAGTATTATAAAGAATTAAAAATGTGTTTTAATTATATTTATAATTTTCAAAGAGTTTCATATAAAAATTCCAAGTTTTTTCGAAAGTGATTCTGTTTTATATTGAATATATGAATGAAATATAATATATTAGATTATAATATATAGAATTTCGATGAAACAGGTTTTATAATGGAAGTTATAATTGTTAGTATAATAATTATTAGTACTAAAAAGAGTAATAGGAATAAAGTAATACAACTAAATAATAAGGAATAAACAATAATGATTATATATAATAATAGTATAGAGAAAATTATATCTCTATTTCTGATAATTCAAGAATAAATGTATTTTTCTAATTAATATACAAAAACCGATTTTCCTATAGATTAAATTATTGAATTTATTAATAATAGGTAAACAAATAATAAGATAGAATTGAAATAATTAAAATATTTCGATAAATATATAAGAGATTATAGAATAAATAAATACTAAATACTAATACTAAATGAATATAAAAGCTATAAATCTATAGCTTTTTAATTATATTATAAAGAGAATGATATTATATATATATGCTTATTACTACATTTAAATTATTTAATTTAATTATTTGATGTCGAATGTTTTAATAAATTAAAACAAAAATATAGTGCTCAAATTGAGAGGTTTATGAAAGTATATATCAATTACATTTTAAAGATTGAATTCCTTATAACTTTCAAAGTTGTATATTAATGATCGATTACAAATCAGAATATAAAATCTGAATTCCAAAAAATAAAATTAATACCTTTTAATCTTGAAATAATAATCTCAAAATTAGATATTCGAATATATATATCTATCCCTCCTTTTTCTATCAATTTAAATCTTTAAATTTCTCGAACTTTTTATAATCTTATAAAAGCTTTTTCTTGTTTAATATTAATTAAATCTCGAATAAATTGTTATTAATTAAGCTCTCTTATATTTATATTTGAGATTATATTAATTCTAGCTAAAAATATAAAGAGATTAATTTATAAGAATACATTTTTAAATATAGAGATTTGTATATTTTGAGAAATGAATAAAGTATTAAATAAAACATTGATATACAAAAAAAACTCAATTATATTAAGAAGGAATATTTATTAGATAGAAAGCTATAGATATATTATTTTAATAAAAAATGGATATTCAGATTTAATATAATAAATATCAAAAAGAAGAGAATTCTAATAGAGAAATATCTTTTAATTGATATTATAATAAATATGAAAAGATAGATTATAATATAAGAATCTATTAAAATAATATAATAGATTTTAGATTATTAAAATTTTAATAGTTTTAATTAATTGATTTAATTGTTATTAAATAATATAAGTTTAAAGTGGTAAATTGAGATGAAAGTGATTTACTCGATGATATAATCTATTCGATGATAAACCACGTTATACATATATTAGTTATCAAGATGTTTCTTAATTAATAAGATATTAATAAGTGATTTAGTAGACTTATTATTAATTTTCATAGTTTTCTTCTCTACACATACTTATTATTGTTATATATATATCATTGATTTTAATCATTATTGAGCATCAAATCCACTGGTGAGTATATAAATTAATAGAATACTTCCCAATTTTTAATATTTTTCATAAATTCATTCTTTAATTATTTGATATTAGAATTCGTATTTTAATTGTTTTATCTCTATTCAAGAATTTTAATAATTCCTAAAATAAATAATTTAATATATCAAAGGATATTTACAAGTTTATTTTTGTATTATCCTGTGAGTCTATACACCCACTAGTGATTAGTATTAAAAGGAAACATTTTCGAAAATTTTGTTAGATGTAGAGAAGTATATTAAGCGGTTGTTTATGAACTAAAATAAACTACTAATTAATTTATCGATTCTCATTTATTCACAAAAAAGGGAGCTGTATTATCCGAGCTGTGTTGGTTATTATTAGCACTGCCGTATCACATCATGCCACTTAAATGTAATTCACCGTGAAAGTCTATATGAAGCTGCTGTAACCACCTAGAAACATTTTTCCTCGTCAGTTCTTTATTTTTTGGTTTAACTTAGACCAATTGACCTCCAGAGTTCTTCCTTGCCACATAATACTAGCCTATGTTGCAGTTGACTAATCTTGAAATCTCCATCAAGCTTTCCTCTGAAAATGAACATCTGCTGCACATCAAGCGATGTAGTGAATAATTGTTGCTCCCATGTCTTTCACTTCATTCAACCCATACAACAAGAGCTACACCCCAATCAGTTCTTTAGTATATCATCCATTATATTGCAACATATCGAAAATGATCCAATCAGTCTCTAGTCATTATGAAGCTGTAGAGAGAAAGCTGTAGTAGTTAGTTCGAAACATATCGACCATCTTCCTTTCAACTTCACGTCTCTATAAAGTCTACAAGATAACCTAATCGTGAGCTCTTATTCTTCTATATAACACCTCAATTCCTTAACCTTCTGAGATCAGGAAAGTATCACAACATCTCGACTAATAAACAATAAATACCCCAAACTCCCCGACATGTTCTTCAACATAAAGGGCATTTCACCCCAGTCGATCAGCAGAACATATCTAAATATGAAGCCCTTACCTCTTCACAATGTCTCTTTGCAAAGAGCTTTAATTCAACGCTCTATCGCCGCTCGTGCATCCTTCCACGCACCTACTGGTATGAGTGGAAACTTCAGACAAGCTCACTCAAGAAACTTTTGCAGCCCTAGCTTCACACCTCCTAAATCAAAAGGAACTCCAAAACCTAGCGATACTTCTACAGGCATTGATAACCCTAAGATCACCACCCGCAACCATGCTTACTACCAAAGATACAGCATTTCTGGCTTCTATCCCATTGTCTGTACTCCTCCACCACCCACTAAGGAACTTCCCAAAGAGGACAAACAGGTCAAGAAGATTGGACGTAAACAGGACGATATCCAAGCCAAGAAGGCTGGTCATGAATATACTTGTCCTGTCCACTCATACAGTCATGCTTATTATCGACAATTTAGCATCGACGGCTTCTATCGCATCAACGACAATCCAGCAGATTCTAAGCCTACCAAGAAGCCTTCTACAGTGAAGCCCAAAGATGAAGCAAAAGATGAAGCTAAAGATGAACCAGAAGATGAACATGTCTGTTCTACCAAAACATGTAATCATGACTACTACAGAACATTCAGTATCTCAGGCTTCTACCCTGCCCAATCTAATACACCGACAAATCCGAAGTCGAGCAAGCCTACCTGCATCCGACCTAAGATCAACATGGCCGAAGCTCTCGCTCTTGCTGCGGCTTTCATCCCATTTGCTTCTTCTCACCAGAAGACAAATTCGAACGTGGAGCATTCGAACTTAGAGCATGATATCATCATATCCACTCAGACAATTGAGGAGCTTGGTTTCGAGACTCTCGGCATCACTGGTTTTCAAGGTTCCCGAGATGATATGGAAGGAGAAAAGGATATCATGGACGACAATGAGAAAGAAGGAGAAACTATTGAGCTTAGAGAGAGAGGCTCTGGTCCTGTTCGTGCTAGTCTTTCTGCAGTTTGGCTTCTCCTTTCCCAGATTTAATTTCAGGGTTGTCTTGTGGTAGACGAGTGACTGGGGTAGTGTATTTATTTATTTATTTATTTTAATTTACATCCAGGGGGCAAGCCACAGGGGCTCGCCACAACCTCCCAGGGGGTATTAGGGATGGACTATACTAACAGGGGTACTGGTACAGTCACGCATTTTGTTCTTTTATAACTATAATACAAACCAGGGGAAAAACGATTAAAAATACTATATATACTTTTATTATTTATTTTTTGTTTGCAATATCGATATTGTTTAATCCATTTTATATTAAATAATCTAGGTTTGGGGTTGGTAATAGGACTTTATATTATTAGTTTTTATTTAATATAGTTTATATATAATAATAGAAAAAAAGGGGAATAGCTTTAGAAGGGGGTATAGTCTTAATTAGTAATATAAAAGTAAAAGATTAAAAGATTTCCAAAGAAATTGAACTTGATTATTTAAAATAATTAATAATTATTAAAAAAATTATAAAATCTGTTGAAATCTTTAAAAAAAAAGAAATGTTTGATTACATTTTTTGTATTTTATAGAATTAAGCTAAATTTATTTAATTAATTATCAAATTGAATATAAGAATATCAATAGAATATAAAATATTTAGACTTTTTATTATATTTATAGAAGTATTCTGAAATAATATTATTATATTAAAAATATTAATAATAAAATACAAAATTCTTATATTCAATTCTGAGTATTATTAATTATTAAAAAATAGAATGGGGGAAAACAAATTTCTTAGATTTTTTAATTTAGTAATTAAAATGCTAATAATAATATTAATTAATAAGAATAGTTTTATTTTATTTTTATTATTTCTATTTCACCTTTTATTTAAAGATTCTAACTATTAAGCTTATATTATTAATAATAGAAAATAATGAATTATTGTTTTTAATATAATCATTATAAATACCTAAATTGATAAGTTAATTAATCTTTTTGTTTCTAAGAATTTCAATATATTTAAATAATTATTAGATTATTATTTATTTATTTCTTATAATCTTATAATAATAAAGAAATGCTTATTAGAATAAGTTAGAGATATTACCTCTAATATACTAAATAATTGAGATATTATTAATATATAATAATCTATTTAATCAGTTTTAATTGAATAGTATACTTCAGATTTTAGAGTATTTATTACTTTAATATTGAAATATATAAAAGCAAATTGATTACCTTATAATCAAATATTATTAAAATTATTCTTAATAGATTATATAACTATAATCAACTATTTTTTGCTTTTAATAATATTATTTAATATTATTTAAAAAGATTATAATATAGTTATTAAATAGATTATTTTATTATTATATAAATTTATATATAATTACTTTTTTCTTTATATTTTTATAGGGTTGATATAACTTTTTATAAAAAAGTGTAATAAGGAAAATACTAATCTCAATATTTTCAAAATCAGTTTGATTAGTTTACAAAGATTAATATTATTTTTTATATTAAAATACTCACACTAAATAAATTGCTAATAAATAGTTTTTGTTTATCTTATAAAATCAGAATATAAATCTTGTTTATATTTATTCAAATACTAGTTTGTTGAATAATAATTCAGAATCTCTTAGAATTATAATAATCAAAATTGTATATCAAATAAATAAAACTTCTTTTACAATTAAAATAATTATTTGATTAATCTTAGTAATATAACTGTCTAATTTTATACTTATTATTATATTATAAGTAACTTCCCCCACCCAATTTAGTTTTATTTAATTTATATACTATACCTCGAATCTATAAAGAATAAAGAATAGAATATAGATAATCATTGTTTTATATAACATTATAGCTAATGAATTGTAATATATTTATATAAACCCTTTAATATACCTCGCAATCTTATAGGCTTTCATTTCTTGTTTTGCTATATATCTTTTAAAAAAAAAGTTTCAATTAAATCAGACTTCTAGTTAATATAGGACTAACTGAACAGCTTTATTGCTTATTTTATTAATTAAATAAATTGTTATTTTATTATTTATCTTCAGATATAGAATATATACCTTTTTTCTTTAGAAAAGATATATTATTTTTAGTTTTTCTAATAACGTAGTTTAACACCGAGTGGCCCATATCACTGAGTGGCCTACTTTCACCTCAATTTATATCTTTCTTTTTCAATATATGTTTTATTAACAATTCATAATGAATTCAAATAATTAAGAAGCTTATATATTTCTTATTATCGAAATTATTTATAAAAATAAAAAACTAAGTATTCAAAAAGCTATTATACTTTATAATATCCTTTATATGATTTTTCGATATAGAATAAAAGATTTATTTCTTTATATAGAAATTCGAATTAATAATTATAAAATTATAGAATTAGAAGAAAAAATAATTATTCAATATATATTTAATATAAATTCAAAAGGATTTCTATTTAAATTGAAAAATATAGAAAATATAGCAAATTATATTTTTGAATTAAAAGATATAAAATGTATTAGAAAGTTTTGAATATATCGATTTGTAAAGCATCAAATTGAATTAAAAATACGTTTTAATTATATTTATGATTTTCAAAAAGCTTTCTATAAAGATCTTAAGCTTATTGAAAAGTGATTTTGATTAATTATAAATATATAAATAAAATATAATATTTTGAATAGCGATTTCTATAATTTTAATAAAATAGACTTTATAATAGAAATTATATATATAATAATAATTATTATTAATATTGAGAAATATAGTAAAAATAAATTAATACAATTAGGCAATTGAGAATAAATTATAGTAATAATATATGAAAATATAAAGAATAAAACTATTCCTTTATTTCTAATAATTTAAGAATAATGTTAAAAGGAATAGAAGTTACTAGTGCTAAGCACGTGTAGTAATTAGTAATACGGTTACCTAAACGGGCTAGATTAAACGAACTATAGACAGGCATATTAATCCTTTTATATAATATTATAAAAGGATTAATATACTTATATACATAGTAATATAATTAATATAAAGGTTTCTTCCATTTAATTTTTTAATAGATTATAAAATCCGGTTAGTATGACCTTTGAACATTATTAATGCAATTATTATTACAATCTAACTCATAAAGTTGAAGAATATACAATACTACCCTACAAATAGCATATAATACTGTAATCACTACTACTACTAATTTGTAGAGTTGAAAGAGTATACAATACTATTTATAAATAAATATATATATAATATAATAAAAAGTATATAATACTAATTATATCTATATTTATAATCTATATAAATCTATTTATATAAAAAAAGAAAAAAAAAACCTTATAAATTCTTTATATAGATATCAAAATGAATAAAATCAAAAAGCAAATGAAAAGCATCCTAAATCTTATTTAAAAGATTTATAATTAATAATTTTAATAAATAAAAATATAATTGAAAGGAAAGAATTAATTCTATATAATTAAATTTATATTATAAGAATATATTAAAATTGGAGAAGTTAGAATGGAAATTAATGGTATCAAAGTTTTTCTAATTCTTAAAAAAAGTAAAGTTATAAATATCAGATTTAATTTAAATAAAAAGATTAAATATTTAAAAAATAAAGTTAGTGTATTATTATATATATATAGATTATTTAATAATAATAATAAAGTATTTATTAATAAATATAATATAATATAAATATTGTGAAATTATCTAAAATCAAAGTATTCAAGAATTAATAATATTATAATTAATTTATATTTGATAATAATCCAAATATTCATTTTCAAATTTATTAATTATTTAGAAATAATTATTATTAAAGTCTGGAATAAATTAAAAGAATATTGATATAAGCTTAATATTATTAACCCTATATTCAAGAATTTGTATAAAAACGAAACTTTATTTTTAGTTTTGATTAAAAGTTTTTCAAACAAATATTAAATAATAATTAATATTATGAGTATTTAAAGTATACTAATAATGAAAAACAAGATCAAATATCTTATTACTAAAGAGCTTAGTATTTAAGAGATAAAACAAGCCTATATTACTAATAGAAAATATGTAATTTTAAATCAATAAAAAGATAATAAAGAATTAAATCTATTAATATAATAAGATTAAGAGGAAATAATTAATATTTATATTTATTATTTTTATAAATAAGAGAATTACTTTCTATATAATTATAAAAATCTTATTTATATAAACTTTAATTCGTAAATATTATAAAACTTAGTAATAAAAAGTAATATTTAAAAGATAATCAAAATATTATTTTCTAAGAGAAAAAATAATTAAGCTTATTTTATAGATAATAAGAGTTTTTTAATTAATCTTAATTCATTAGAAAGCAAAGAAGAATCTAATAATGAAGAATATTATATTCTAAAGAATTCATTTGTAAGATTATTTCTTGTTATTGATCTACAGATATTAATACTTCTCACATATATCTAATCAACTTTCCCTTTTTAAAAATATCAAAAGATAAAGAAAAAGATAATAAAAATTAATGGGAACATTATATATTATAATCAGATAGGTACTACTATAATAAAAACTAGAAATGATAATATGATTTTATTCTTAAAAAATGTTATATATATTGGATAGGAGTCAATCTTTTTTTAATAAAAAAATTTATAAGATTAAACTCAAGAGCAGATTCAATTTAGATTGTATATACTTTCGAAAGAATAAAATAAATATTATTAAAGTAAAAATAGATAGAGAAATTTATATAATCTTAAATATTATAAAAGAATATAAAAATATTATTTTATAAAGTATAGAGATTATTAATAATATTAAACTAAATAAAATCATTTTAAATATCTTTTTAAATAAAATCAAAAAGGATCTAAAAACTTATCTATTATAATATAAATAATTTAATCATCTTGATTCAAAGAAAATACAAAATCTTTATAAAGTCATAATATTAGAAAAGCTAATTAAAGTTTTATTTAAAATCTCTATATATAAAGTATATATATTTATTA